ACATATTTTTTCCACGCCCCTGAACTATATTAATATTCGAATGCCCCACCGGCTTTTACTCGGCAGATTTATCTCACCAACTATTTCTATAAAAGAAACGAAAATATGACGCAGCAAAGGCACTTGTGATATTTTTTTAAGAATCTCATTTAGCGCAGTCATCGGGAATTTCATTTCGTGAAATCAGTGATTTCAGATAGAGTTAAAACTGATGCTTTGGGTGTTAAGGGGAATCGGTGGGCTGAACATTTGAAAGAATGAGTTGTGATTGGCAACGATTCTATGTGCCCATTTTCAGCTCGATGGGGTGACTGAAAGTGGGTCGTTTAGCCGCCCGAAGATTTTTTTTACCTTAAACAAACACACGAACAAAAGTAAAGTTAACATTAAGGATTTTAAAAATCCCTCCAAGCGATGTCAGTACACATCCAAACATGGGCGCCCTCAGAAAACTTTCGGGGGGGGGGGGGGGGTAAGTGCCCCACCTTGCCCCTACCTGCGGGCGCCCATGCATTCAAACGAGCTTTCTGTGTAAACATGATCTTTCTAATAAAATATTTTTTTTCAAAAGTTTTTAAGCCATCTCGTATGTTTCTGTTCATCTAGGGTCTGGTTTAAAGCGCACACGACCAGTGTGAGAAGCACTGTGATTGACAGGCCCGCGAAAAGTTCTTTAAGTCCTGCTTGTATAACCAGGGTGCGGCGTGGGAAGGGCAATACGTTTTGAAAAGATCGATAAGTCGGTACTTGAAGGATCCATAAATTTCGCACAACTTTTTTTTACAGCTGTGTCTGTGTCGCCAATATCCCCTCAAATTTGTCACGTGTCTCAGTGGGCTGGTTTCATAAAAAGAAAAAAAAAGAGAACACAAGCTTGAATGTAACAATTCAACTCTAAAGTAATTTCATGAAATCTAAATAAAGCAAAGGAATCGATTTTTTAAAAAAAAATATCTCTATTTGAAACATTAATGTGTTATTTGACCGATTTTATTTCTTTTTGCTTCTAGTGGATATTGGAATTTATTATTAAGTGAAATTGTAAATGGAAATGAATATTCGAAGATACCAAGAAATATATTGAAACAGCTGGCAAATGAAAAAAAAAAAAACCACATTGAAAACAGGAAGAAATCAAAGAATTAACAAATTATTAAATGATTAACGAATCTTATATATGTACTAAATTAATAATGTATATATAACAATAAATTGACATCTTCAATACTGTTATTCAAATAATGTAAATATATATATATATATATCAAATACTTTACTTTATATTTCATTAGTTATTTTCCATACGATTTTACAAAATGTATAATTTTAAAGAAAAAGAAAATTAAAAAAATATATATATTTTAGTTAGTGTCCTTTGTGTAAACTAAAATGAAATGAGTTCTAGGAATCTATTTTTAGCAGTTCAGGTTAAGATATATGGTATTTAAAATGTTTTGTTTTCTAGTGACAGTGGGGTAGCTGTCTCGTGATTGACAGTGGCATAGCTATCTACTGATTGACAGTGGCATAGCTATCTAGTGATTGACAGTGGCATAGCTATCTAGTGTTTGACAGTGGAATAGCTATCTCGTGATTGGCAGTGGCAAAGCTATCTAGTGATTGACAGTGGCATAGCTATCTAGTGATTGACAGTGGCATGGCTATCTAGTGTTTGACAGTGGTATAGCTATCGAGTGATTGACAGTCTCATATATATCTAGTGATTGACAGTTGCATAGCTATCTAGTGATTGACAGTGGCATAGCTATGTAGTGATTGACAGTGGCATAGCTATCTAGCGTTTGACAGTGGAATAGCTATCTAGTGATTGGCAGTGGCATAGCTATCTAGTGTTTGACAGTGGCATAGCTATCTAGTGATTGGCAGTGGTATAGCTATCTAGTGATTGACAGTGGCATAGCTATCTAGTGATTGACAGTGGCATAGCTATCTATTTATTGACAGGGGCATAGCTATTTAGTTATTCACAGTGGCATAGCTATTTAGTTATTCACGGTGGCATAGCTATCTAGTGATTGACAGTGGCATAGCTATCTAGTGATTGACAGTGGCATAGCTATCTATTTATTGACAGGGGCATAGCTATCTATTTATTGACAGGGGCATAGCTATTTAGTTATTCACAGTGGCATAGCTATTTAGTTATTCACGGTGGCATAGCTATCTAGTGATTGGCAGTGGCATAGCTATCTATTTATTGACAGTGGCATAGCTATCGAGTGATTGACAGTGGCATATCTATCTAGTGATTGACAGTTGCATAGCTATCTAGTGATTGACAGTGGCATAGCTATCTAGTGATTGACAGTGGCATAGCTATCAAGTGATTGACAGTGGCATGGCTATCTAGTGATTGACAGTGGCATAGCTATCTAGTGATTGACAGTGGCATAGCTATCTAGTGATTGACAGTGGCATAGCTATTTAGTGATTGACAGTGGCATAGCTATCTAGTGATTGACAGTGGCATAGCTATCTATTTATTGACAGTTGCATAGCTAGCTAGTGATTGGCAGTGGCATAGATATCTATTTATTGACAGTGGCATAGCTATCGAGTGATTGACAGTCTCATATATATCTAGTGATTGACAGTTGCATAGCTATCTAGTGATTGACAGTGGCATAGCTATCTAGTGATTGACAGTGGCATAGCTATCAAGTGATTGACAGTGGCATGGCTATCTAGTGATTGACAGTGGCATAGCTATCTAGTGATTGACAGTGGCATAGCTATCTAGTGATTGACAGTGGTATAGCTATCAAGTGATTGACAGTGGCATAGCTATCTAGTGATTGACAGTGGCATAGCTATCTAGTGATTGACAGTGATATAGCTATCAAGTGACTAACAGTGGCGTAGATATCTACTGATGTGTACGTCACATGTCGACACTACAGACAAATGACATACAAAAACGCCACTCAAAACACCACACACCATTTCCGTTAACAACAATCTAGCTCTTCCCCACATTCTCACCACCCAAAACATCACAAACATCTAAATCTCCCGGAGCCCACACAATCCCATACAACCCCACACAATCCAATACAACCTCACACAATCCCATACAACCTCACACAATCCCATACAACCTCACACAATCCCAAACAACCTCACACAATCCCATACAACCTCACACAATCCCATACAACCTCACACAATCCCATACAACCTCACACAATCCCATACAACCTCACACAATCCCATACAACCTCACACAATCCTATACAACCTCACACAATCCCATACAACCTCACACAATCCCATACAACCTCACACAATCCCATACAACCTCACACAATCCCATACAACCTCACACAATCCCATACAACCTCACACAATCCCATAAATCCCCTGCAACAATCCCATAAATCCAATACAATTTACATAAATCTCGTACACTTCCACACAATCCTACACAATCCTAGACAATCCTACAAAATCCCAGCCATTCAAGCAAATTGATCAGAAGATATAATTTAAAGACTATCAAAAGCAAGTACAATTTAATATTACCATGGTCTTAGTTTGGTTTCAACGTATAAATCAATGTTTGTTTGTGTGTTTTGAAAAGGGGGGGGGGGGCGCAATGTTTCAATGTATTCACCAGTGTGCATTTGGGGCTGGTTTTGGAGTGGAATCATAAGTAATTGTTTCACTTTTACACCTGTGAGAAGCTTGGATTGAGGCAGCATTTGTTTCAACATATGCAGCAGTGTGTCATCAGGTACAGGCGTTTAAATTCATTGGATTGGTTCATTTTAAAAATATTCCTTTACATTAAAAGCAATATAGCTTAAAATATATTGAAATGGTCTGTGTACTTCCTCTGGGTTTAAATCATTCACTTTTCTGACAGATCCATCCTTTTTAGCCACTGTTCCCCTTATACAACACTGTACAATTAGGAGACTGTGCAGACATAGCCAAATAAAAAAAAATGAAAGACATCTTCTGGATTTATGCGATCAATAGCAAAAGTGGACAGGGAAAAATCCCCATTGTGTCTTTTACTCCCCCCCTCAACTATTATCCATGTCTCCTCAAGGACCTAGGTCTCCTAAATACCTAGGTCTCCCTAATACCCACATCTCCCTTAGTATCCAGATATTCCTTAAGTACCGAGGTTTCCCAAATAGTATACTATCATGTCTTTCCAAGTACCTAGGTCTCCCCTAATATCTGTGTATCATCCGAGTTCCAAGTCTCCCTTTGTATCCAGGTCTCCCGAGTAACCAGGTCTCCCCAGTATACTATTCATGTCTCCCTCATGTACACGGGCCTTCTTAGTACCCATGTCTTCCCCAATAACCGTTCTCCCCATGCCTCCCATGGAACACATGTCTTCTCTAGTACCCGAGTCTCTCCTGCAGTACACCCCATGTTAACCCGAGTACTCAGATCTCCCTTCAGAACACATGTTTTCTCTAGTACCCGAGTTTCTCCTGCAGTACACCCCATGTTAATCCGAGTACTCAGATCTCCCATAGAACACTTGTCTTCTCTAGTTCCCGAGTCTCTCCTGCATTACACCCCCCCCCCCTGTTAATTCGAGTACTCAGATCTCCAACAGAATAATTCACATTCCGCCCCACCCCCACCTCTCTATTCAGTACACCCCATGTTAATCCGAGTACTCAGATCTCCCATAGAACACTTGTCTTCTCTAGTACCCGAGTCTCTCCTGCATTACCCCCCCCCCCCCTGTTAATTCGAGTACTCAGATCTCCAACAGAATAATTCACATTCCGCCCCACCCCCACCTCTCTATACCCCGCACTTCTATTATACTTGAGAAAGTCCTAACACTCTCGGTGTGGGGGACTGAGGCGTTTCTATTGGCAGTGGTATCAACACCTCTTCATAAAGGCATTGGGCTAAACATCGCAGGTGCCTGATAGAGAAAGGTAGAGGTTGGCAGATCAATATCTCTACGTGACCTTTGACATAATATTCACATATTAAACTGTTAACATAAAGCTGTAAGGGGGCAACTCAGAATGTAGTGTAGGCTGGATATCTCCTGGGTGCGGATTGTTAAAAGTCATTGGATTAGTTCATGTTTTGGCTCTTTCTTTGCATGAAGAACAAAACAGCTTTAAACCATATTGATATTGTGTGTGTGTATTTCCTCGTGTTTTAGATCATTCTGTTTTCTGACTGCACCATCGATAGGGAAGTTAACCGAAAGTCATAACCGCAAGTGATTACGATTTGTATTTCCCTCTGGAAATTACTTTACAATGTTGGACTAAGCCAAAGGATTATTAAGACTTTGATGATCACGATGTGAAGTGACACCAGTCCAAGTCCAGCATTGTTATAGTACAATCTTTGTGGCCCAGGGGCTCCTCTATGGAGTTCATATTTCAAAGGATGGCAGCACACAGCAGATGTTGTTGTTTGTTGGTTTTGTTAACACTGTTGTACCGTGGTGGTGAGTGCTGTCCTAGCTCGACATGATGTGCTACCCAATGTACCTAAACATCCACTGTGTTAAATACTGTAGCTATTTTGGCGTTGTGTTGCAGACTGTAACAATCACTCACTAGGTTACACATTATACTAAATAAATCGTTGTGTTACAGACTGTAACACTCACTAGGTTACATATTATACTAAATAAATTCTTGTGTAACACACTGTAACAAACACTCACTAGGTTACATATTATACTAAATAAATTCTTGTGTAACACACTGTAACAATCACTCACTAGGTTACATATTATACTAAATAAATTCTTGTGTAACACACTGTACAAGAATCATTGTGTCATGATAGAACAATGTTGATTCTCTAAAATAGAACGTGCTGTGTCACCTAGTCATCAGCTTTGTTTGAGAAAGAAGATTTTTAGATATTTTTAATTTAAATGTTCAATTAAAGCCTTGTCAGATCTTGTAAAACTAAAAGATTTTTTTTTTTTTTTTTTTTTTTTTTTTTTTTTGCATCCGATCAAAATGCGTTATGTAAAAGAAGAAAAAGAAATAGCACAAACATTTCAAGAAAGTACCCATATTCTATTATCTATAAGGGGTACCTTCAAGTTTTAAAGCATATTATTAATAATTCCACTAAATTTTGTTCAGTTTGGAACTAAATACACTTTAAAGTTTCGGGGGTGGGACTACTTAATTGTACCATCGTATCTGTTTCTACACCATAATTTATGATAATGGCCGGTGACTGGTGGCAGTCTAAATCAAGAAAATTCTCTCTTCACAGGCAGCGCCGCGCCTTACGTCAACATCACCAATCTCCCCTTCACCTGCTCCATCCCCGAGAACACCCCGATTGGCTCGCTCATCTTCAATACGACGTACTATAACTCGGTCAACGGCACGACGGTCGTCTTCAACATCAACAGTGGGTCTCAATTGTTGTTAGTTTTTGCCAAAGTGGCATCCATAAATTATGTCAACAAGGTTTCGGCAGTTAATAATTAGTTGAAAAACTGTCAAGGAACCCTCCCTTCCCCTATCCTTAAAATTAATGTGAAAATGTTTACCCCCACCCACAGCCAACTTTATATTATGTTTATGAATGTTCGTGTGCGCGCGCTTGCGTGCGTGTTTGTTTGTATGTGTGTTTGTGTCTGTGTGTTTTGTTTCAATGCTTTAAAAATTGTATACAAAATAGGAAAATATATAGTTTTAATACATGTGTTTACACTTGTTGAACACAATTTAAAATTTTAATGTTTAGAAATTTCGTCTATGCACATTTTTTTGTTGCCAAATGCATTAAAAAAATGGTAAAGTACGAAATGCTATTGTTAGTAAATTATCCCCTTTCCCTGTCTGCCATCATCTTCCCATAAATGATCCAAGTAGCCATCCAGTGCATTGTTCAGAAATCTTTGGCTCCTCGCGGCTCTTTCACCCATTATAACATTCATTTTTTCCTAAGGAAGTGCCTAATTAACAGTATCGAAGTAAAATATTAATTCTAGATGTCATGTCATGCCATGTGTACATTTACTCTCCTTGCCATGTGTACATTTACTCTCCTTGCCATGTGTACATTTACTCTCCATGCCATGTGTACATTTACTCTCCATGTCATGTGTACATTTACTCTCCATGCCATGTGTACATTTACTCTCCATGCCATGTGTACATTTACTCTCCATGCCATGTGTACATTTACTCTCCATGTCATGTGTACATTTACTCTCCATGCCATGTGTACATTTACTCTCCATGCCATGTGTACATTTACTCTCCATGCCATGTGTACATTTACTCTCCGTGCCATGTGTACATTTACTCTCCGTGCCATGTGTACATTTACTCTCCGTGCCATGTGTACATTTACTCTCCTTGCCATGTGTACATTTACTCTCCATGCCATGTGCACATTTAGTCTCCATGCCATGTGCACATTTAGTCTCCATGCCATGTGTACATTTACTCTCCTTGCCATGTGTACATTTACTCTCTTTGCCATGTGTACATTTACTCTCCATGTCATGTGTACATTTAGTCTCCATGCCATGTGTACATTTACTCTCCATGCCATGTGTACATTTACTCGCAATGCCATGTGTACATTTACTCTCCATGCCATGTGTACATTTACCCTCCTTGCCATGTGTACATTTACTCTCCATGCCATGTGTACATTTACTCTCCATGCCATGTGTACATTTATTCTCCATGCCATAAGTGCATTTACTCTCCATGCCATGTGTACATTTACCCTCCATGCCATGTGTACATTTACTCTCCATGCCATGTGTACATTTACCCTCCATGCCATGTGTACATTTACTCTCTAATCAGCCGTTGCCTGCAGCCCCCTAAATATTTTCAATGCAGATTTGACTTATACACTTGCTTTTTTACTCCCCCCAAAAAGTATGCTGATAGCTACTTTATTGTAATTATGGGAATAGAATATGGTGTAACTTTGTAATATTCTATTACACAGCATCGTATTCTAACTATTCAGCGGTTAAATGATCAACAATTTATCTGTTTCATTTAGAAGAGGCAGGTAATTTCTTGGGCCTAGGAACACAAGAACACATCGTAGTTGTTGTTCTTAAAGTTTGAAAGGATTGGATCCTACTATTATTGATGCCATCAAATTTTTTTTATCATTTCATATTAATGTTCTTATATATATATATCATAGACAAACATCAACGGTGACATTAATTTATTATATACAACCTGCCCTTTATTAAAATTTGTCAAACGCTGTCACACTCCCTACACTCATTTCGTTGACGTAATTTATGGACGCAACCAATCAGAGCACTATGGCGTGGGGTTCACATCTTTTAATTTATAATTATTATTTTTTTATTTTTTTTTAACATAGTTGCTCTATCAGAAGCATTATAAGGTTTTTAACACAATTTTACGAATAATTTCGTTTCTAATTCCATTCCAGTTTTAAGGCCATATTTTTTTTTTTTTTTTTTTTTTTTTTTTTTTTTTTTTTTTTTTTTTTTTTTTTTTTTTTATTTTTTTTTTTATATTTTTTTATTTTTTTTTTTTTTTTTTTTTTTTTTTTTTTTTTTTTTTTTTTTTTTTTTTTTTTTTTTTTTTTTTTTTTTTTTTTGCTTAATTTAATTTTTTTTTGTGGTCAAATTCAATTAAAAATCTTATTTAGTATTTTTTCTTTATCTTATTTATTTTGCTCTTTTGTTTCGTTTCTTTTCCTTTTTTAAAAATCTTAAATCTTCTCAAATTAAGAAACAATAATTTTAATAATATTCTGGAACGAGAATAACTTGCATTCCGAAAAAAAGATAATGTAACATTCTTATTAAAATAATATTTTTTTTCAAAAACTACCTGATATTTTATTCAGACCATTAATATTTTTTTAGACATGAGTTACCATTTCATATTGAATGATCATCCATTGATTGCCGTCTTTGTCAGCATAACATCTCATGTTTACATATTAACACCTCCACACATTCGTTTTTTTCCTTTCTACAGTTACTGACCCTGAACTAGTTCCTGATGGTAATCGTTTAGCATTTTGTCATAATCTCGATACCAATATTATCCTTTTCATTTATGCACAATTAGCTTTTATTATCGTTTATATTCGTTGCTGTTTTCTTCAAAAGTTGCCCTAAACAGTGTAATCCTTATGCAATGCAACACAAATATCCATGTCTGCCCTCGGCGTCATTTTTGACTTAAATTCAAGAAGAGTGATTACCCCCCTTTTTTTTTTCTTTGCTATGCGCTAGATTCCCATATCTTATACATCTATATTTCGCCTCGTGTTACACCATATATATTTTGTTCTTCCTATGTCTATACGTATATTTGTAAACCCCAGGGGAAACTCGGATAATCAATTTTTAAAGAGAAAATCAGTATTTGTTAAAACGGGTTTCGGTTTATTAAATGCTTACAATTTACAATAACAACCGTTTTCCCCCATAGCCGTTAATTGCAGGGACAAAATTGAAGGTGTACAATTATTATGGGAGTGGTACTATACCGATAGGTAAACGGAGAGCACATAAACATCTAATGTTGTGTTACAATAGTGTAAACAGCTTCTTTTCTTTTTAAATTCAAACTTTACATAAACTTTCCAAATAGTTTCCTTTCAAAAGAACTTACCTGTAGACCGTGTAGATAACAAACATTTCAAATATGTGGGTCACTGTGAACAAGGAGGAACCACGCCCCCTTGAGTACACGAAAAAAACATTTTAACGAGATTTCAGAATAACCTGTTAAACTCCCCCCCCCCCCACCCACACACACTCCCCCCCCCCCCCACACACACACACACTTCTTTCTTTTAATGTCATAACCACATTGTTGTTGTCAATATTGTATATTGCATTTGTGCGTGCTATTACTGCTTTAAAAAATATATGCTAATCGCTGTTTGAATAGCTGTAGCTATTCCTGTAGCTATTGCTGCTGCTGTTGTTTTAGTTTGTGATGGTCAACGGCGACAGCAGAAATTGAAATGGAGTTGGTTATGTAAAATCTAGTTGTAGTTGTTGTTTTTTTTTTTTTTTTTTGCTAAAATTTTTAAAAAAGGAGATCGTTGTCAACACACAAGAAACAAACTTTCAGTTTTGACACGTTGTCAACACACAAGAAACAAACTTTCAGTTTTGACACGTTGTCAACACACAAGAAACAAACTTTCAGTTTTGACACGTTGTCAACACACAAGAAACAAACTTTCAGTTTTGACACGTTGTCAACACACAAGAAACAAACTTTCAGTTTTGACACGTTGTCAACACACAAGAAACAAACTTTCAGTTTTGACACGTTGTCAACACACAAGAAACAAACTTTCAGTTTTGACACGTTGTCAACACACAAGAAACAAACTTTCAGTTTTGACACGTTGTCAACACACAAGAAACAAACTTTCAGTTTTGACACGTTGTCAACACACAAGAAACAAACTTTCAGTTTTGACACGTTGTCAACACACAAGAAACAAACTTTCAGTTTTGACACGTTGTCAACACACAAGAAACAAACTTTCAGTTTTGACACGTTGTCAACACACAAGAAACAAACTTTCAGTTTTGACACGTTGTCAACACACAAGAAACAAACTTTCAGTTTTGACACGTTGTCAACACACAAGAAACAAACTTTCAGTTTTGACACGTTGTCAACACACAAGAAACAAACTTTCAGTTTTGACACGTTGTCAACACACAAGAAACAAACTTTCAGTTTTGACACGTTGTCAACACACAAGAAACAAACTTTCAGTTTTGACACGTTGTCAACACACAAGAAACAAACTTTCAGTTTTGACACGTTGTCAACACACAAGAAACAAACTTTCAGTTTTGACACGTTGTCAACACACAAGAAACAAACTTTCAGTTTTGACACGTTGTCAACACACAAGAAACAAACTTTCAGTTTTGACACGTTGTCAACACACAAGAAACAAACTTTCAGTTTTGACACGTAGTCAACACACAAGAAACAAACTTTCAGTTTTGACACGTTGTCAACACACAAGAAACAAACTTTCAGTTTTGACACGTTGTCAACACACAAGAAACAAACTTTCAGTTTTGACACGTTGTCAATACACAAGAAACAAGCTTTCAGTTTTGACACGTTGTCAACACACAAGAAACAAGCTTTCAGTTTTGACACGTTGTCAACACACAAGAAACAAACTTTCAGTTATGACACGTTGTCAACACACAAGAAACAAACTTTCAGTTTTGACACGTTGTCAACACACAAGAAACAAACTTTCAGTTTTGACACGTTGTCAACACACAAGAAACAAACTTTCAGTTTTGACACGTTGTCAACACACAAGAAACAAACTTTCAGTTTTGACACGTTGTCAACACACAAGAAACAAACTTTCAGTTTTGACACGTTGTCAACACACAAGAAACAAACTTTCAGTTTTGACACGTTGTCAACACACAAGAAACAAACTTTCAGTTTTGACACGTTGTCAACACACAAGAAACAAACTTTCAGTTTTGACACGTTGTCAACACACAAGAAACAAACTTTCAGTTTTGACACGTTGTCAACACACAAGAAACAAACTTTCAGTTTTGACACGTTGTCAACACACAAGAAACAAACTTTCAGTTTTGACACGTTGTCAACACACAAGAAACAAACTTTCAGTTTTGACACGTTGTCAACACACAAGAAACAAACTTTCAGTTTTGACACGTTGTCAACACACAAGAAACAAACTTTCAGTTTTGACACGTTGTCAACACACAAGAAACAAACTTTCAGTTTTGACACGTTGTCAACACACAAGAAACAAACTTTCAGTTTTGACACGTTGTCAACACACAAGAAACAAACTTTCAGTTTTGACACGTTGTCAACACACAAGAAACAAACTTTCAGTTTTGACACGTTGTCAACACACAAGAAACAAACTTTCAGTTTTGACACGTTGTCAACACACAAGAAACAAACTTTCAGTTTTGACACGTTGTCAACACACAAGAAACAAACTTTCAGTTTTGACACGTTGTCAACACACAAGAAACAAACTTTCAGTTTTGACACGTTGTCAACACACAAGAAACAAACTTTCAGTTTTGACACGTTGTCAACACACAAGAAACAAACTTTCAGTTTTGACACGTTGTCAACACACAAGAAACAAACTTTCAGTTTTGACACGTTGTCAACACACAAGAAACAAACTTTCAGTTTTGACACGTTGTCAACACACAAGAAACAAACTTTCAGTTTTGACACGTTGTCAACACACAAGAAACAAACTTTCAGTTTTGACACGTTGTCAACACACAAGAAACAAACTTTCAGTTTTGACACGTTGTCAACACACAAGAAACAAACTTTCAGTTTTGACACGTTGTCAACACACAAGAAACAAACTTTCAGTTTTGACACGTTGTCAACACACAAGAAACAAGCATTCAGTATTGACACGTTGTCAATACACAAGAAACAAGCATTCAGTATTGACACGTTGTCAACACACAACAAACAAGCATTCAGTATGGACACGTTGTCAACACACAACAAACAAGCATTCAGTACTGACACGTTGTCAACACACAAGAAACAAGCATTCAGTATTGATACGTTGTCAATACACAAGAAACAAGCATTCAGTATTGACACGTTGTCAACACACAACAAACAAGCATTCAGTTTTGACACACAAAGGTCTGCAGAAACGAATATATATACTAACAAATAACAAAGTTTTTTTGTTTTTTTCTAAAGAAGTTATACAAAAAAGAAGTTACACAAAAAAGAAGTTACACAAAAAAGAAGTTACACAAAAAAGAAGTTACACAAAAAAGAAGTTACACAAAAAAGAAGTTATACAAAAAAGAAGTTATACAAAAAAGAAGTTACACAAAAAAGAAGTTACACAAAAAAGAAGTTATACAAAAAAGAAGTTATACAAAAAAGAAGTTACACAAAAAAGAAGTTACACAAAATAGAAGTTACACAAAAAAGAAGTTACACAAAAAAGAAGTTACACAAAAAAGAAGTTACACAAAAAAGAAGTTACACAAAAAAGAAGTTACACAAAAAAGAAGTTATACAAAAAAGAAGTTACACAAAAAAGAAGTTACACAAAAAAGAAGTTATACAAAAAAGAAGTTACACAAAAAAGAAGTTATACAAAAAAGAAGTCACACATAACGGACAAAATTACCAAACATGGACTCAGTTTTATCTTTAAAAGTTACAGAGAGTTGCTATATGCAGGGCGGTGCCGAGGACAATCGGCACCCGAGGTAAAGCATGAAAATGCCGCCCTTCCATGTATAGTAAGAAAAAAAAACTGTCGCCCGCGGTGGAGTAGTGAACTTTCTAAAGAGTAGCTCGGCACGGCAATAAATATTAAAATATATTAAGTATGGTCAAGATATAGTAGGCAATGTAGTAGGATATAGTTGGTGATATGATCGAACAATTGAGTCATTAGAAACGTGCAATTTAGGAGCTTGAAAATTTTAGTAATAGTATTTTGACAAAATGTTAGCAAAATGCAGGGGAAAACAAATGCTCACACTTTGCCACGCCCACCCCCCCCCCCCCCCCTTTTTTTTTTTTTTTTTTTGCGGACACCCATGTAAGCAAGTATTACGTTTTGTGTATGCTACGTCATCTATATTAAATAGGTGTACATGACACACGTGCAATGTCAGCCCATATATTCATCATGGCATCCACAATGGGACGCCATCTTGTGCACACTTATCAAACCCTTTAGGCCACAACTTTGTTCACTCCACACCTCTTTGGTTTCCGCACGGGAACTGTTTTCGAACCCATATGAGCTTTAACTATGTATAGTGTTTGATAAATATAGCCGAACTATAAAGTAAGAAATAACTCCTATAAACTAGTGGTGATAACACAAGGACCGCATCCATTCTTTGTAATGGCTTCTCATTTAATCATTATTATCATATATCCATATGTATATTTATTTTATTTTTTACTATATTTTTTAAATAGCAAAATTATATTTATTTTCAAATTGCTTTTTCAAATATAAAATATTTATTACAATGCGGGGATACATTGGCTTAAAGGTATTTGCTTCAAGCTGTGATTAGCCAGGCTAATTTGTGTTGCATTGAGTGGGGCTTCGTGGAATAGTGTAGTTAGGTACAGTGGCCTAATGGTACAGCCCATTCAGTGTTTTGCTGAATTCATTTCATTAATCCAAATTAATTAATTTTGATGATTACGTCAAAAAATGTATCTCTTATTTGGTATCGAATTTTTTTTTAAATCTAAAAAATAAAATGACCAGAGATGCATTCACAACAGGTTCGTTTCAAAGTAGCTCGAATCTTTCCAAATTTGATGGGTTCCTAATTAACATTTGAAAGTTAAAACTGCGGGAAAATTCAATTTAGGCTTGCAGTAATGTAGAACCACTGACATAGGTTAGTGTTTTGTGACCCCAAAAAAAGCATCCCTTTCAAATTAGATTAATTCGTTTATTACATGTATATATGCACGACGAGTTGATCTAGGTCATAGTTGTATTGTGTGTGTAGCTGTGTAGTTCTGATTTATTTAATTTTTTATTTCAACGCACATCAGCAAAACCTGCACGTGTGTGTCAATTATTATTTTATTTTTTAAAATTATGTTACTTTTTTTTTCAGTTTTTTACGAGTTCTTAAATGACGTTTTTGATGTCTTTATCCGGCGATTAGATGTTTAGTTAGTTACTGATGTTGCTCCACTGCAGGTTACATATTTAGTAACACTGCAAATGTGCTTTCCCTTTGCAAGGCTGTGGCCCATGCGGGGCTAACAGTTAACAGTACTTGAGCTTAAACTGTTGTCGCAACGTGTAGAGCATTCGCGCTGTAGGACAGTTGTGTTGCAGGACAATCAGGTTGTAGGAAAGTTGGGATTTAAGACAGTCAGTTTCTAGGAAAGTTGGTTTTTGTGAATGTTGGGTTGTAGGACAGCAGGTTGTAGGAAAGTTGGGATGTAAGACAGTCAGTTTCTAGGAAAGTCGGTTTTTGTAAATGTAGGGTTGTAGGACAGCAGGTTGTAGGAAAGTTGGGATGTAAGACAGTCAGTTTCTAGGAAAATCGGTTTTTGTGAATGTTGGGTTGTAGGACAGCAGGTTACACTGGTGGGCTATTAATAGTATAAATATTCTTTTTTTTTTTTTTAAAGTGTTAAACGCTTGTTTCTTTATCCTTTTATGTTTCTGCAACGTCACGATTTCCAGACTTTTGTCTTACCGCGACTTCTACCAAACTATGCAGGTTACACTGGTGGGCTATTAATAGTATAAATATTCTTTTTTTTTTTTTTAAAGTGTTAAACGCTTGTTTCTTTATCCTTGTATGTGTCTGCAACGTCACGATTTCCAGACTTGTGTCTTACCGCGACTGCTACCAAACTACACGTGTAAGCAGAGTTCTATAACGGTTGCAAATCCGAAATGGCGATCCTTACTTCCCTGGACACCTTTTTAATTTGTTGATTTAAGAAAAAAAAAGAGATTATATTTTTAACTTTTTAAGATATGTATGGGCGCATTTCTGTGTTATTGAAAAGTTCCCATTTTGTGATAACCTATCCTCCTCCCCTGAGATGTAAACAAATGGTTACCGGAAATTTGATCGAAAGAAATTTCGTCGACAGTAAATTGATCGACGGAAAATTGATCGAACGGAAATTAGGTCGAACCTTTTTTTCAGGTCACACGTTAAAATTTTTCGTCAAACTTCTATTTGATTGCATTATTTTGTTCTACTATATAGTAAAGTGCGTTCAAAAAGAAATTTGACGAAAAATTTTAACGTGTGAACTGAAAAAAAGATTCGACCATTTTTCCGTTCGATAAAATTACCGTCGATCAATTTACCGTCGACGAAATTTCTTTCGATCAAAGTTCCTGATACAGTAAACAAATACATGTAAATATTTGGTGCCCCCATTGTACTTGGGTCTGGATACGCCCCTATAACCTTATAACTTTTGTCTCTTTGTGCGACACTCTTTTTGTTTTGTTTTTTGGTCACATTCTGACAGAGAACAAATAAGGACAGTAAAGTTATCAACAGTCACTGTTTCCGTGAATCTTTGTGTCTAGTTAGTTAATTTTAACAACAGTTTTGTGTAAAGTTTTTTTTTTTTCATTTAATAAATGTTAACACGATAAATTATTTTCAGTGTATTCAGCTTAGTGTTCTGTTTTGACTTATCCCTTCACAAAGCAAGTATTTGTAAACTAAAGAAAACTGTGTTTAACTGCCAACTTAAGAGAACCAAATCAAATCGGCCTTCGAATTAACGGCACCTTAGTAACATAATTTATTATTAACGTTCTAAAAGGTCGAATAAATTATTTGAAACATCAAAAGCAGGTGCCAAAATAACTCTAAATGGCATTTAACAAACTGGTCCATAGATCAAATGTTGTCTCTTTGTTTTTCTACTTTGTGATTTATTTTAAAAATTAACTGATAAATTCACACTGTATAAACTCCATATTTTCCAAGATGGCAACCAGGATCGACGCTTCTCAGTAGATTCCGCCAACGGACAGGTTTACGTCGGAGATTTCTTGAACTATGAAAAAGTCAAAACTTATTCCTTACAGATCAAAGTAGTGAATGTGAATAACTTAGTGGTGGATTATAAAACTCTAACTGTCAGCGTTACCGATGTCAATGACAACGCTCCAGTAAGTACTTTTCAAAGCTTACATTTGTAGCGATAGTTTTTTTAAATTATTTGTTCACAGCACAGACGCGAAATGTTTTGGTCTCGTTCACTGCGTGTACTACCGGTATTTCCGCACCAGTGGGCTTTGCGCAGCCTTAGTTAAAGGTTGCCAAAGTGGTGTTTTTGCTCGTTTTTTTTTATTTTTTTGCTTTTGGTGCACAGATGTGTCGCACGTTTAGTTTTGGGGAGTCAGGCCAACATAACCCTTTTTAACTTCAATGTAACTATTTGTTGTTGTTTTTTTTTAAATCACAATAATGTTTCAGTAGCTACTTGATAGCTGAACAGAGATACAAAACTACGGGGTCTTTAATTAACAAACATCTATATATAAAATTTGCCAGCAAAGGGCAAACACCACCACGCAGGCTATATATAGATACGCCAGAATGTGATTAAATAATGAATTTACTAGCACGCAAAATATAATTCCCAATAACTACGCAAAATGATGATAAATATCTTTTTTTAATAACGCAATAGCGTTTGATGCGTAATATTTTCTTTTCGGAAATGAAATCGTCTCAATTTAAGTATTGTGTAAAAAAATGTTCGTTTTAAAAGTGGTTGGGACATGAGAATATTAATAGAGTTCATGGGCGTGAAATAAATAGTGTACAGTGACGTATCATGAAAAAAAAAAAGGGGGGGGAGGGGTGTAGCAAAATTGGGATTCTTAAATGTGCGTTACTTGAGTTCATGTTTTTGTCAAGTAACTTTAGTAGATGGGAAGTTCACGCATTGCTGTCGTCAATGTTTGGCGGACTCCATCTAGTTTAAAATAAAAATAGGTTTGCCCTCTGCTCGCGCGTAGGCGAGAACAAGGCAAAAACACGATACTCAAACTTACCCTAGAAATGACGACGTAACACTGAATTAGTTGGCGTATGCCTGTGTACTTGAGTCTTTGCATGTGGGTGTACGCTCGTGCGTAGGTGTATGTGCGTTTGTGTGTACAAGTGTATGTGTGTTTCTAAGTGTGTGTGTGTATGTATGTGTGCATGTTTGATCGCGCGTGAATATTTGCGCGCGCGTGTGTGTGTATATGCACGGGTGTGTTTGTGTGTGTGAGTGTATGGGTATGTGTCTGTGTGAGTGTATGGGTCTGTGTCTGTGTGAGTGTATGGGTATTGTAACACATATGCTCTGACATCATTGTAACTTAGTGGGTTATGTCAGTAGAATGGTCACTTGTTTTATGTTAATAATTCAGGATGCCGGCTAAGACTTCTTCATTCTCCCACTTATCTTCTTCTTCTATATCTTAAGGGCCCACGATCAATTTATTGATCATTTTGGCTCCTATGCATGTAGATGGGATTTGCCATGTTTCTGTTACTGGTGGTGATGAGGAAATTATGCACTAGGGGTTTGAAGGCTTGAGGCAATAGACACAAATGTGTCTAGTGTTGTCACCTCAACCGTTCCTTTTAAAAGATTGTTCCCGTCCCTGATTGTCTTGGGCAGGAATGAGCAGCTCCTATACTGGCTTCTTGCTGGTATGAGCCTGAATTGCCTGTCATGGCCTCGTCGCTGTCTATGGGGGAGAGGGACGAGTTTCTGTTTAATACTGGAACAGTGGACCAGCCCATTATTTATCTTGTACATCATGGAGAGCCTGGATTGTCGTCGTCGTTTCTCCAATGGTGACCAGCCTAGTGTTTCTAGCATGCTGCCAACACTAGAGGTATTCCTGTAGCGGTTTAGGACAAAGCGTGCTGCTCGTCGCTGGACCGCCTCCAACCTGTCAATGCTCTTCTGGGTAAATGGGTCCCAGACTGAAGATGCATAATCTAAAATCGGACGGATAAAGGCTTTATATGCTCTTTCTTTCACACAGGAGTTGCCAATCTTTAGATTTCGCCTTAAGAACCCCAAGGCTTGGTTTGCTTGGTTACATACATTGTTAATATGCTCGTCCCAGCGGACCTCTCTTTGAATGGTAACACCCAGGTACTTTACGGAGGAAACTTGCTCAAGAATATGGCCGTGCAGTTTGTATTGGTAGTGTAGAGGAGTACAACTTCTAGAGATTGATAGTGTCTGGCACTTGGCAGGGTGAAATTCCATGTCCCAGCTCATCTCCCACTCAGCTAACAGATTGAGATCCTGTTGTAGCTGGTCCTGGTCAGATCTGTTGGCGATCGTCCTATACACTGCTGTGTCATCTGCAAACAGTCTTGCCTGTGATGTCAGTTTCTCCGGTAGGTCATTAATGTATGCTAGGAACAAACAGGGGCCCAGGACTGATCCCTGGGGGACCCCTGACTTCACATTGACAAAGGAGGAGCTTGTACCGCCCACCACTACTGCTTGGCGTCGGTGGCTGAGGAAGCTAGAGATCCATGTTTTAGTGGTGCCTTGAATCCCATATATCTGGAGTTTGTGTAGAAGCAAACTATGATTCACCCGGTCAAATGCTTTTGCGAAGTCCATTACTAGCACGTCAGTCTGCTTGTGGTTCTCCAGATTGGTCATCAAGTCTTCTACAAATTCGAGAAGCTGGGTCTCACATGACCTATTGACTCGGAAGCCATGTTGACAGTCATTGAGTATATTTTGGCTTTCAAGATGCTTCATGACAGAGCTTACGATTATGTGCTCCAACAGTTTGCAGACGACGCTAGTGAGGGATATCGGACGATAGTTGGCAGGGTCGGAATGCTCCCCTTTCTTGTAAATTGGAGTGACATGCGCTGTTCTCCAGTCTGCTGGAACATTTCCTGTGCATAGTGACGATTGGAAGAGGATTGTCAGTGCAGGAGCGATTTCTTTGGCTAATTCTTTGAGCACTCGTGGTTTAATGTGGTCAGGACCACATGCTTTGTAAGGATTAATGGTATTGAGGAGGGCAAACACACCTTGTTCTGATATCTGGATATCTCCCATGATAGGATAGGCTCTGTTCATCATTTTGGTTTTCAGAAGGAACTCAGTCTCAGAGTACTCTCTACCGTCACCAAAGACCGACTGGAACTGCTGATTGAGTATCTCCGCCTGTGCTTTTGGGTCAGATGTCAATTGGCCATCCCACCTCAAGGGGGAAACTCCAGCGTTTGAGGACTTTTGGTGTTTCACATAGCTCCAGAAGCGCTTGTTCTTGACATCTTTGGTCGGGGTGTCTTCCTCTGAGAAGATGCCGTTCATGTAGTTCCAATACGATCTACGCAATAAGCGTTGAATGGTTCGGCGGAGTCTCAGTACCTCCTCTCTCAGTTCAATCGAGCCATTTTTCTTCATGCGTTTGTATTGGCGGTCTCTCCTGTGGATGAGCCTACGGATTTCAGCCGTGACCCATGGCTGATTTATCCTAGGTTTGGTGATTTGGTGTGGTATAAATTTCTTCACTGCATCAGTGATTGTAGTCTTGAACTTCACCCACAGCTCGTCTGTTGTCGCTGTACCTTGAATCCCCTTCATGTTTGAGCTTAGCACTGTGGTTGCAATCCTTAGGCCATCCCAGTCTGCCTTGGCATAAATTGGGATTTCTCGAATGATTTGTTTCATTTTTATTGTGTTGACCTGAAATTCACACTTATTATCCAGGCACGCAAAGAAAGGATACTGAATTCTGATTAAACTTACAGTACTTTATTGAATCACACTTTACACTGATACTATTAATAATAATCCTTGCATGAATGTAATCATTTCACATATATATATATAATATTCCACCACTCAGAAAGACACGTCCTCACTTTACTATAACTCAGCTCAACTCTACAATAACTCAGCTCTCACTCTCTCTACTGCTCTGCGCCCACTATATCAATCAACTGCCCCTTTTATTACCAGCAAAGCGTGGAAAACGCCCGCTTTGCAAAAAACATAATTTACTCTCCAAAAAACGTGGAGCTCACTTTTTCCTCTCAAAAATACAATCCACTCTCTCTCTCGTGGAAAAACATGGTCAACACAATTCACTGTTCACTCATGCTACCTCTCTGTTTTCTTGTCTGTTTGAGTGTATGGGTAAGTGTCTGTGTGAGTTTATGGGTATGTGTCTGTGTGAGTGTATGGGTATGTGTCTGTGTGAGTGTATGGGTATGTGTCTGTTTGAGTGTATGGGTATGTGTCTGTGTGAGTGTATGGGTATGTGTCTGTTTGAGTGTATGGGTATGTGTCTGTGTGAGTTTATGGGTATGTGCCTGTGTGAGTGTAAGGTTATGTGTCTGTGTGAGTGTATGGGTATGTGTCTGTGTGAGTGTATGGGTATGTGTCTGTGTGAGTGTATGGGTATGTGTCTGTTTGAGTGTATGGGTATGTGTCTGTGTGAGTGTATGGGTATGTGTCTGTGTGAGTGTATGGGTATGTGTCTGTTTTGAGTGTATGGGTATGTGTCTGTTTGAGTGTATGGGTATATGTCTGTGTGAGTGGATGGGTATGTGTCTGTTTTTGAGTGGATGGGTATGTGTCTGTGTCAGACAAAGTATGCATGCATGTCGGTGTGTATGTGTGCGTGTGTATTTTTTGATCGCGTTAGATGATTTGTGTGTGTGTGTGTTGTTTCCTGTGTGTCTTTCGTTTGCTGTGTGAGTGTGTGTCGTTTGCTGTGTGTGTGTCGTTTGCTGTGTGTGTGTCTCGTTTGCTGTGTGTGTGTCGTTTGCTGTGTGTGTGTCTCGTTTGCTGTGTATGTGTCTTTTTGTGTGTGTGTGTGTCGTTTCCTGTGTTTGTGTCGTTTGCTGTGTGTGTGTAGGTGCGGGATTTTGGGTGAATTTTAAGGCTGTGTGTGTATGTGTTTGTATGCGCGTCCACACATGTGTCATCGTGTGTGTGTGCTTGTGTATTTGCGTGTGTTTGTGCGTGTGTGGCCATGTGTGTGTGAGTGTTTGCCTTTGTGTCTATGCGTGTGTGACATTGCGAGAGTGCGTGCCCGCGTACGGGTGTTTGTGTGTGTAGTCGTGTATGTTGCATGCGTTTATATGTGTTCTGTGTGACGCGCGTTTGTGTTCGCATGTGTGTGTTTGTGTTTAAGAATGTACCATGTGTGTTTGGGTTCGTTTTTGGGGGGTGTGTGTGTATGAATATGCATTCGTGTTTGCGTGTATGTTTGCGTGTGTGTTTTGTTTCTAGCCTGCGTCTTTGTATGTTAGATTGTGTGTATCTGTGTGTGTGGGTGGTTGCGTGATATTTTGTGTGCGTGTATGGGTGTGCTTGTGTGTCGGTGTGTGCGTGCCTATGTATGTGTATGTGTGCGTGGTTGCGTGTGTGCCTGTGTGTTTGTCTACGTGTGTGTATTTTTTTGTGTACGTGGTTTTTGTAAACTTTAATTAGACATATAAATATCTTGTTTAGTCTCATTTTATTATTTTAACATAAAATATGTTATCCCACAGGAATGCCGTCCGTACAATGTACTTGGTGAACTCAAAGAGAGCGATGCCGCTGGAACTAATTTTACCTCCCTTGCCTGCACAGATGTTGACACAGGCAATGGTGGTAAAGTGGAATATTTAGTCATTGAAGGTGAGGCAGGATAAGATGAAGAGACAACAATTCTTGTTTGGGTATTCGTGGCTTTTAATAAAATAAATTCCTCTGACTCAACCTGTTGTTTAATGTGAACGATGAGTATAAATATTATTATCCTAAGGTTCCAGGGGCCATTTTGGGCATGTGCCCTTTGGCCAGAAGCTATTTTGGGCATGTGCCCTTCGGCCCGAAGCCATTTTTGGGCATGTGCCCTTCGGCCAGAAGCCATTTTTGGGCATGTTCCCTTCGACTAGAAGCCATTTTGGGCATGTACCGGTCGGTCAGAAGCCATTTTGGGCATGTGACCTTCAGCCCGAGGCCTTGGTGACGGATTTACTCACTCTCTGCAGCTGATGGTAGATAGAATGAATGGCAGGGTAATAGAAAAGGTGACGCTACAGTCCCATCTGGATGTCTGCGCATTGATTTTTTAAAATCTTGTTTTATGCAGTCAAGGTAGGAATAAAGTTGTAGTGTCCTGTGTGCATGAGAACGATTATGACATGTAGAGTTCACCGAACATTAGTTCTTTGGGAATTCTGCTGCATGGCATTCTTACGACATGCCCAGCCCATCTGGCTTTTCCTTTTTGTAGGAGCGTGTGGATTCAATCAGCCCGTTTTAGGACCTCTGTATCAGGAACTCTGTCTTGTCATCTTATGCCAGGAAGCTTTCGTACGCAACGTAGACAGAGATGGCTTAGTTGCCTAGCATATTTACTGTACACTGTCCACGTCACGCTAGGATATAGGAGAGTTGTTAATAGGAATATCCTATATACCTTCAGCTTAGTGAAAAGTCTGAGACCCCTTCGCTCCCAAACACTCATGCGGAGCCCTCCAAATGCAACATTTGCTTTGGAAATTTGGTTATTGATCTCATCTTCTATTGTTACTGACCAGGCGAGGGTGTTGCCCAAATCTGTGAATTTTTCTACTGCTTTGAGATTCCGTTCATAACCTGATATTTTAGGTTCTTCGTAAGCTCTGCCTTTCTTGCAACATTTCTGTTTTTGTCGTATGGATGGCGAGGCCGTAGTAGTCGTAGGTCTTAGCAAAGCATGTTGCATTTTCAGTTCCGAGCTTGCACTTAGGACACATTCATCAGCAAACGAGAGGTCTCGAATAACCGTTTCTTTAACTTCGTAATGGCCTGCCGTATCAAAAGATTAAATAGCTGTCCGTCAGTCGTGTATCTTATAGGAATGCCGTCATTATTATCAATAAAAGCTTCGGTCAGCATTGCTGAGAATACCATGCTAAAAAGTGTTTGGTCTAGAACACACCCTTATTTTACGGCATTGTCAAGGGTATGAGAATCACTGTTTTTATTTGTAGATCACTGTTATGTTTGGTAAGGAAAAGATGTAGTTAAGAGATTTCATGTGTAGCTTTATCTATTGTGTGAGAGTGTTGTGACGTATTTGGGTAAGGGGAAATGACGCGTTAGTTTTGTTGTTGTTATGGTGGCTAGATGGCGGATATACTATATTGACTGTTTGGACTTGTGTGTTGCTTAGCGTTTGGATGGAACGATTTGATTAATAATCTTGAATTATATATCAACCATAGTTAATGAACTGTTGTTGAACAAACTCATATCTTGCAAAAAATCGGTTCCTGTTTTGTTGCATTAGTAGCTGTTGTTATCTGATATACTGTCTCGTGGGATCAAGTGAAAGACTTAGCACAGACAGGTAGACACTCATCTCCATGAGTGGATGAACACAACACTTCAGGTTCAACTGGCATTAGTTACAGGAAAATCCACAGACTTTTGTCCAGAATCTACCAGCATGACCATCATATCATGGAGTTGACGAGCCATTGTAATAAATCTATTCGGGTTCTGGTAGTTTTCGTTGCTGCATCCATATACTGGCATCTGTGCAACGGTTGAGGGTATGATGTTGATATTCTAACAGCTCCTAGCTGATGCCAGGGCTGCCTTGAAGCTTTCGACCGATGTCGAGTTCACAGTGGCATCGCCCATGTGGTTCAATGGTATTATTGTGCGTGGGAAGAAAAATTGTTGATACTGCACTGTGTTGTACCGAGTCACTTTGAAGCATTTGCTGTTGTTTCTGGTGTAATTGTTTATGGGAATGTCAGAGGTGAAGTCCGTGTTCAATGAGCATTTTGCTCTGATCAGTCTACCCGGCTTCTGAGGGGTGAGGTACGTGCCTTCTGGGATGGCCAGCACCAGTCCCATGATCACTTTATATAAGAATATCAGGCGGAGTCCCTCTCGTCTTTCTTGAAAAAAAGGGGGGGGGGTGTCAAATCTTTTTAAGAGGCCAGTGACGAAGCCAGGAAGGTGGTGGATTTGTAGTCTCGAGCGATACAACCCACCACGTTACGTTGAATTCACTCCATCTTTCACCATTACCTTCCATATTCCATCTCTACTGCCTGTGTTAAATGCTTTGGTCATATCAATAAAGGTGATGAACAGGTCAATGTGTTCCTCTTGACATTTTTACTGGCGTTGGCGTCCTGCCATATGAATACATGTCATCTGAACATTAGGCACCACTCACATAAGCCTAACTTATAACGTTAGGTGTTCGATCACCGAGTGGTCTAAACTGAGTCAATCCAAAAAGAAGCAACATCACTAGCACCCCGGGTGGATGGGACTCCAATTAGCCATGGACGGCAACTCATCTAAGAAAAGGAAAAAATTCTGACTTCAAACCCGGAGATGGAGTCCCGTAGGCGGTATGACATTGACACAATTAAACTTCCGGCAACTCATGCGATGCTACTGATGCCAGCTGAATATCCACATATGATTCACCGTTGGGTTCTCCAGGTACATAGAGAGAGGTGATTTTCTGTCTAGAGAACAAGCTTATCCCAGGTCTTGCGATTTCGGACGGACGGAAGCCAGAATAGTTTAATGAATGTCATTCTCGTCAGTGTGAACCTTCTCCTGATTAGGATCATACCGTTTTAATTTAAGAAAATTGAAGGGGGAAAAAAAAGCTGCGATTTGCCTTTTTGCTTCACTTCAAAAGATCTTTTTATAATATCTCATTTTATTACGGACATCCTAAAGATCTTACAGACTTTTATGGACAGATCAGTTTTAGCTCAAACGATTACGGACTGTCCGTAAATTTCAGACGATCCAGAATCACAGTTGAAGTTTTTAGAGACGTGTCTTGAAGCGTCTGATCTACAAACCCCAATACAAATTCTTTCCTGAAGGATTCTACAAGCGTATGTTGAGCCTCGCCTCTAGATTCACACTCAAACTGCCCCTTTCTTCTCCTATTGTGACACTCTTCAAAAATCATATTGATGTTAGTTTTTTATACCATTTCTTTTGGAGCGGCCATTGCTAATGCAAATCCTTATCCTCTGCATTTGTTAAAAAAAGCGGAATAGACATTGGAAATGTACAATTGCTAAATAGTGTTGTAAAGCAAAGAAAGATCTGCAATGAGAACTTGTAAAAAATCTCCAGCTTGTAGTTTGCAAGACATGAGCTTCACTATTCACTTAAGAATCTACGCGCAATAGAACTTGGAATGATAAAATAATAGTACAGGAGAAGGACAGAATGATCATTGGATCATCGTGTACCTCCGAATATTGTGATGACTTAAAAAACGAACTATATATAGCCAAGGCCTGACAATTTTCATAATATATGATATAATAAGAGCTACGTGTGGAGCCGCAACAAACTTTCCACCCCAGGCGCCAGCCCTGACCAACCCCAAGACAACGTTTGTTCCGACACCACAGATAGCAGCAGGCAGCACCGACACCACGGGGGCCCAACCAAAGTGACACGCTATACCAGATAAGGCCATCACCAACATTTGGGGCCAGAGCCAAAGAGAGCCAATGAAAAGAGACTCACACGTTGACAAAACATAAGTAGGCATAAAATGCTTCATGTATAAGTGGGCATTAAATGTATCATATAGAAGTGGGCATTAAATGTATCATATAAAAGTGGGCATTAAATGTATCATATATAAGTGGGCATTAAATGTATCATATATAAGTGGGAATTAAATTATCAAATTTAAGTAGGAATTAAATGTATCATATATAAGTGAGAATTAAATGTGTCAGATATAAGTGGGCATTAAATGTATAAAACATAAGTAGGCATGAAATGTATCGTATAATAATAATAATAATAATTAGTGGTCTGATATACCGCGGTACCCCGGCCTAGGGCTGGGCTCACCGCGCTGTACATAAAATTATTATCAAAAGAGACATAATCATGACATTAAAATAAAATACATTTATGAAATAAAGAACAGCATGTTACCAATATATGTTAGTAGGCATTAAATGTATCAAATATAATTTAGCACTAAATGTATCAGATGTTAGTGGCCATGAAATGTATCATATATTTGTGGGCATTAAATGTATCATATATAAGCGTTAAATATATCAGACATAATTGGGAATTAAATGTATCTGATATAATTGGGCATTAAATGTATCATATATAAGTGGGCATTTAATGTATTAGATGTATTAGATATAAGTGGGCATTAAAGGTATAAATATAAATGTGCACTAAATGTATCAAATATACTTGGGCATTAATTGTATCAAATATAATTGGGCATTACATGTAACTATATGTGGGCATTGAATGTATGAAATATAATTGGATATTAAATGTATCAAATATAAATAAAAATGTATTATTTCTCGGTCTCCAATTCATAAAAATATAAAACTGTCAAACATATAAAACTTCCACATTTATAAATAAAACTGTCACACGCATAAAACTGTAACATATAAAAGTGTCACATATAAAACTGTCACACATTTAAAACTGTCACACATTTAAAACTGTCACACATTTTAAACTGTCACACATTTAAAACTGTCACACATTTAAAACTGTCACACATTTAAAACTGTCACACATTTAAAACTGTCACATTTTTAAATCTGTCACACATTTAAAACTGTCACACATTTAAAACTGTCACACTTATAAAACTGTCACACATTTAAAACTGTCACACATTTCAAACTGTCACACATTTCAAACTGTAACACATTTAAAACTGTCAAACTTTTAATACTGTCACACATATAAAACTGTCACAGTCACACATATAAAACTGTCACACATTTAAAACTGTCACACATTTCAAACTGTCACACATTTCAAACTGTCACACATTTAAAACTGTCACATATTTAAAACTGTCACACATTTAAAACTGTCACACATTTAAAACTGTCACACATTTTAAACTGTCACACATTTAAAACTGTCACATATTTAAAACTGTCACACATGTAAAACTGTCACATTTGTGAAACTGTCACACTTATAAAAGCATCCCTCGAAAACATCATAGGATTGGAAACGTTTCCTAAGAACCCTTTCCACATAGTATATACTAGATGCTGGCCTCTATAAATAAATACCTTGTTGCCCCATGCTACGAATAAACCACTTCATGTCACTCCTTTCAGGTGATACTGGCGTCATTGCCGTAAACAGCACAACAGGTGTTGCCACCATTAAACGAACTATAGATTACGATACAGAAAAGAGAGACACCTACCAGGTCATTGTCAAGGTCAGGGACCTGGGAACACCGTCACTTTCTGTCAATGCGACAGTCCTGCTGTCTGTCAAGGATGTTGATGACCTGCTTCCACAGTTCTCACCGTCCACTGTCACTGGCTGTAAGTTGTCAGATGTCAATAATTCTAACTTGTCAAATACCATGGGCCGTCAACAATCATCTTTTAATTTGAAGTCTTTTTTCTTTCCTCTAACTTACACAGTCTTTACCATTAAAGTTTTATTTTCTTTCAAAACTCAAGTTAGCTACTTAAGTCTTCATTTGAAACAAAACTTGTTTCTGAAACTGTAACATTAATTTACTATGTTCAAGTTATTTGTAACATTATTCTTGCATCCTTTTGCCATTAGCTGGACGTTAAAACCGTTGATTAACACCCCCTCACCATCTGTAACACCCTCTCACAACACACACTCCCCATCTGTAACACCCTCTCACCATCTGTAACACCCTCTCACAACACACACTCCCCATCTGTAACACCCTCTCAATATCTGTAACACCCTCTCACAATACATTCTCACCATCTGTAACACCCTCTCACCATCTGTAACACCCTCTCACAACACACACTCCCCATCTGTAACACCCTATCAATATCTGTAACACCCTTTCACAATACATTCTCACCATCTGTAACATCCTCTCACAATACATTCTCACCATCTGTAACATCCTCTCACAATACATTCTCACCATCTGTAACATCCTCTCACAATACATTCTCACCATCTGTAACATCCTCTCACAATACATTCTCAACATCTGTAACATCCTCTCAATGTCTGTAACACCCTCTCACAACACGCACTCACCATCTGTAACACCCTCTCAATATCTGTAACACCCTCTCACAATACATTCTCACCATCTGTAACATTCTCTCAATATCTGTAACACCCTCTCAAAACACACACTCACCATATGTAACACCCTCTCACCATCTGTAACGCCCTATCACAACACCCTCTCACTATCTGTAACACCTTCTTACGATCTGTGGGTATTAATCTTGAAGTGACATGTCCAGGCTGCTAGTGTAGTGGATACATGAGATCTGCTTGTTAACACCATGAAAAGAATTCGTCACAGACATGTCAATTGGTGTCTTAACTTTTATTTTTTTCATTGTAACTAAGTTTATTCATGTGTTTTGAATGTGACTAAGTTAAGTAATCAATGTATTTGATTGAGACTAAGTTAAGTAATCAATGTATTTGATTGAGACTAAGTTAAGTAATCAATGTATTTGCTTGAGACTAAGTTAAGCTATGTCTCATGTATTGACTCAGTTTGTTTGATTGGAATATCAAAGATAACTTAAATCGTTTGGCAAATTAATAATTTATTGAAATTTGTATTACATGTAAATACTCTTTTAACAAATATTTATATGCACTAATATATATTCAACATTTGTTAACGATTACTCATTAAATTTCTTAATCGAGTTACCAATTCTTTTGACAACGATTTACATAGTCGAACATCTTTCCCAAATTCCGTAAGTAATTACAAATAAGTAGACGCATGTTTCAAATTATTTTCAAAAATAAATTGTATGCCCCGTTAGCGTTTAGAATTCTTTTTATTGCCAAGATAAGCCTAAATTGTTAATAAAGTGGGTCTTTATATAACTTCTTGTGTCTAGTAGGTCCCTGTATGGCTTGGCATCAACCCACTAATTTTTATAGACACATTCCTTCAGTACTTGCTGCTTCCTCTGAAGTCACACATCTGAATGAAATCTAATAAGTCCTCGATTTTGCTAAGAGAACTCACTGAATGGCAGTTTGAAATAATTTATTATCAATGTGTTGTGTTCAAATTGTTTTATTTTTTAGCTGAAAATGTATAATGCAATCAAAAAACATTTCCATTTATTTGGATCAATAAAAGAATCTTATCTTATCTTATCTTATCTTAAAACGATAACTTGAACTTTAAAACTCGACCGATTTCAACAGTGAAACTCGTTCATTGTTAACGTGGATGGCTACGGCTCTAGCATTTTTGAAACCGATTCTTTCTCAGACACATCATAAAAGTTCTTCTATATCTTAAGGATCAATATTAGAGACTGGAACCATCTTTCAAAAGGAACAGTTGAGGTGACAACACTAGACACATTTGTGTCTATTGCCTCAAGCCTTCAAACCCCTAGTGCATAATTTCCTCATCACCACCAGTAGCAGAAACATTGCAAATCCCTTCTACATGCATAGGAGCCAAAATGATCAATAAATTGATCGTGGGCCCTTAAGATATAGAAGAAGAAGAAGATTGGTCATGCGGTCAATCTTACTACAGTTGTATCAAATTATAGAAGCAAGGGCTTGCGATCGTCGAGCTGATCTCAAATTCAATTTTTAGTTGCATCAAGTTGCATTTTCTATTTAAAGAAAAAAAAATGACAAATGACAAGTTGTTAAGTTTTAAAATAATAGATGATTAACATGAGTTGTGAATATTTTACTTAGACGTCTAACTAGGCCGGCGTAGACGTCTAACTAGTCCAGCGTAGACGTCTAAGTAGTCCAGAGAAGACGTCTGAACAGTCCAGAGTAGACGTGTAACTAGTCCAGAGTAGACGTGTAACTAGTCCAGAGTAGACGTCCAAACAGTCCAGAGTAGACGTCTAACTAGTCCAGAGTAGACGTCTAACTAGTCCAGAGTAGACGTCTAACTAGTCCAGAGTAGACGTCTAACTAGTCCAGAGTAGACGTCTAACTAGTCCAGAGTAGACGTCTAGCTAGTCCAGAGTAGACGTCTAACTAGTCCAGAGTAGACGTCCAAACAGTCCAGGGTAGACGTCTAACTAGTCCAAAGTAGACGTCTAACTAGTCCAGCGTAGACGTCTTACTAGGCCAGCATAGAATTTACAACTAATATTTCTAATAAATAATCTACGATTGAACAAAATGAATTCATATCAGTGATCCGCACATCTCGACATATCATTGTACATTATGTATTACATTCATGATTACTTTGCCAGTCGTGCACAATGTATACAATGTTTGTAACATCTTTCCCTGGCGTACGACAGCCGTGTATGAGAACGCCACTGTTGGGAGCACTGTTCTCACGTTGCAAGCAACAGACGGCGACGCCCCTGACACATTCAACTCACTGGTTGTCTATCAGTCTGAAGGGTGTAGCCCCGATGTGTTCATGGTTGACAGATTTACAGGTCAGTTGGTTTATGAAGCCCCTCTTTCTTAAAGTTGAAGCCTGCGGTCAAAAAGTTAAGAATTACATTTAAGGCTGCGGCTATTGGAACCCGGGTCCCTTGAGACGAAATGCTATTCGGATGTCGTTCGTGGTAGTTTACTTTAGTCAAACTGAAGAAGTAAGTTTAAAAACATATATTCCATTCAATTATCTTTCATTTGATACCACATTTTGTCTTAAAAACTCATCAATAATATTTTAAATAGTTTTTTTTAATGAAATCAACCTCTCACTCTTTTCCGGGGCCGAATAGCCAGTTTGTATATTTAAACTAAAATTTGTAAATTAAAACATTAACAGTTTCATCGTGACTTGCACAACTTACTTCTAATGGCGTAGTATTTACACTTTACCTCAAAATATCATTTGTAATTAATTTGCGTCCATTCATAACTTATATATATATTTTTCATGCAGAGTTTATTGCCAAAATACATTATAAGTGTTATTATGTAAAGACAGTTATCTAAATGCGTAAACGCCTCTGAATATGAGACATTTTCTAATTTTAAACAGGTTAACTTTATCATTATTTCCTGCAGGTTAAGACAAAAAGTATAGAACGTTATTTTCTATACTACAATCTTTTATATCTTTAGAAAACTAAACGGCAAGTTTAAGGCCACTGGTGTCAGATAAAGGGGCGCTCGCAAATCACGTCACGCAAAAAATTACCTTTTCAGACTCCCCCCCTCACAAATTCTTTACCCCTCCCCCATTTAGTGTCACGTCACACCTAAAAAATTCAAAACATCCATAAAATGTTCATAACTTAACTAAGATTTTATTTTTTCCCATAATGGATTAAGATGTTCTATTATTAGAAAACTGTGACGTAAAACTCAAAACAACGAAGTCCTCCCCAAGCCGAATGTAAAACAGTCATTTTTCGATATGCGTAGACGGTGTGCGCAACTGAGTTTACGGAAATTATAATACCTGAGACAAACTCGACCTCAAATTAATGGTTTTAAATTTAATTGAATAGAGATTTTTCAAAATTACAAAAAGTATAGATTTTTTTTTTTAAATATTTTAAAATTAAAAAGTTAAAACAATTGTGACGTCACAAAGGTTCCCTCCCCCTTGCCACAAAGGGCAACTAATTCGAGCGTGACGTAATTTAAGAACGACCCCTAACTTATGTTTATTTTTCAATAAAAGGGGCACTCCAATTTTTTAACAGTGTTTCTCTATCCACAGGAGCGTTAATCGTAAAGACAGACTTGGACTATGAGACCAATCCAGTGATCCGCTGTCACGTGACGGCCTACTCGTCCGACAAGAAAACGGCCAAAAACACAGCGTCCGTTGTGATTACTGTAGGAGATGTCAACGACAGGATTCCCATCTTCGACCAGGTCAGTCGGTGCACATGCCACGTCACTTACTCTCGTAACTAAATTTTTTCACAGTTGCGATTGACAGTCGATACGTTGTGGGCTCTATCCGATACGTTGTGGGTTCAATCCGTGACCATTTTAATTCAGATGTTCACAATATAAAAAAAACATAATAAATATCTACATGGATGTGATTTCTCAGATATCCTGGAATATTCCGTTCTCAATTCTCTTAAATCATTCAATTCCTGTAATATATTCACAATACCTCATTTCAAATCAAAATCATTAGTTCAAAATTTTTTGTACAAAATCTTGATCTATAACCACAGTTATAATCAAACTGTTGCTCCCACGTGACCAAATCCAATACTCTGATTGGTCAGTCTCCCCCCCCCCCGTTCCCGTCCCCCGGGGGCTCTAGTCGGCTTGCCCGTCTTAAAAATGGCGTGTCGATAAAGAGGCGTTTGCCACGAACCCCCTCAAACGTGACCCGGGGTACAGTATCACCGTGAAGGGGACCTGCACTTGAAGGCAAAGGTAACGCACGGAGACTGCGTTAGAAAGAGCACGGCTGCATGGCTTCCAAACAAATTCAGTGGAAAATAACGCAGAAAAGGGTCGGGGCATGATTACAGTTGTAGTACCGATATGAGGCGAAAGAACGTGGCGACCCTCGCCGATGGTTTCAAAACATGCAGTCGTTGAGGGTACTGGTGCTAGGCAACCTCTTTCTCTCCCAGCTGGGGTGTGAGTTAGTCACACTGCTCCCAGGCAACCTCTTTTTCTCTCCCACCTGGGTGAGAGTTAGTCACATGGCATAAAACCATGTAAACTCTATTAGAAGGCGTCTGTCAAACACCTACCAGTCCCCCATGAGCGGGGAAGAGGGGACTTGCAGACGTAAAATATATCAACCCCAGCCCCTAGAAAGTCAGGCCTGGCTGCTTTGTGTAAGAAGCACCCCGGCCGGCCAGGCGTTCCTACTCTGGTGCCGTCGCACTCGCATAGTCAATCGAGTGGAGGGGCGGTGAGTCTGTCTCAGGGACGAAAAGTTTCCAACGTGCCGCTTCGCGGCCCCACTGGAACAAAGACAACTGGGGGGAGTAGTTGATGGCCAGTTGGGTTTAGCGGGGGATGCGTTTGTGAAGACTTCATGAGATTCAGCTCAATAGTCTACTCTGTTCTTCTAAAGTAGATTAGATTAGATTGGTCAGTCTTTATATATCGAATTACTCTATGTTACTATGCATGGGGAATATAGAGTGTTAACTATATAAATTGTCTACAATCAGTACTTCATACGTCATAATATGATAATGATATCTGTGATGTAACACTAGATTGCTGGGTTAATTATGTTACCATAGAACAGTGGCGTAGCGAGGGTGTTTGGCGCCCGGGGACAAGATTCGCGCCCGGGGACAAGATCCATTTTAGCGCCCCTTTTTCTTTTTTTCAACTCTCAAACCCATTATTTTCATCAATAAAATGTTATCAAAGCACATTTTGGCGCCCCTAAATAGCTTGCGCCCGGGGACATCTGTCCCCCCTGCCCCCACCACGCTACGCCTCTGCCATAGAAACTAAATCACTTACAGATTAACTAACTGTCTGCAGGAAATCTACAAGGCTACAATTACTGAGAACTCACCAAAGGGCACGCCCGTTGTCCTGGTCAATGCTACGGACCCAGACGCTGGAACAGATGGTCAAGTGCTCTATTCTCTACAAGCCGAAGGTAAACTATTCCTTAACTAAGCGACCGTCTATAACGCATAGGTTAAGGTAACTGTTACTATCTGATATCTGATAAGTTCTGCGCTTCAATGTGTTACGAGATTTTCTCCGAAGGACGTTCCGTGTGTGTCAAATGTTTCGGTCTTTATCATTTCTGGCACCGCTGTCTTACTTCACTACCCACACAGCCATGCTTGGCCCACACTTCACTACCCACACAGCCATGCTTGGCCCACACTTCACCTCACACACACAGCCATTCCTACAACGATACTAAGCATACTGACAAAAAGCAGAACTCCACAAATTAGCCTTGCATCAACCGACCAATCACAGCTCGCACTCAGAAAACCTCTCACCAACTCACGGCCTACAACATTCATGAACAAACAATCAGGATCCCAAAACCAGTTCATAACAGTACTTTTTAATTTTACATTAATTCCCCCACTACTCTGTGGTGTGCAATTACATATTGTAATACGCGACAGACTCATTATCACATATTGTGATAAGTGACAGTTATTGTCCCATATTGTATTAAGTGACAGAGTCATTAATCACATAATATTGTATTAAGTGACAGCATCATTATCAGATATTGTAATGAGTGACAGAATCATTATCAGATATTCTAATAAGTCACAGAGACATTATCAGATGTTGTAATCAGTGTTATTATTGTACATGTAAACATTAGCTGTAATTTATGATTTTGTTGCCAACATCAACCGTTTTGTTCAAAAATTGATATAACACCGGTAACTCAACTGTTTTGTCCTAACAGGCAATAGCTCCGGCATATTCACCATTGATGCGAGCACCGGCAACATCACTGTGCTAGGTACAGTGGACTACGAGACGGCCACCTCTCACCTGCTCACTGTCTACGCTGAAGATCAGGGCAAAGATATCAAAAATAAAAACAGTGTCTTTGTGCAGGCCAGTCCTCATTTCACTCCATCTTTTCCCCCTCAATCTCCCTCGCTCTCTTTCTCTCACTAATCTCTGTCTACCCATCTCTCTCTCTCTCTCTCTCTCTCTCTCTCTCTCTCTCTCTCTCTCTCTCTCTCTGTGTGTGTCTTTGTTTCTCCCTCTCACTGTCTTTTTCTCTCTATCCCTTTCTCCCTCTCTCTCTCTCTCTCTCTTTCTCTCTTTCTCTCTTTCTCACTATTTCTCTCTCTTCCTATTTCTTTCACCACATCTGCTTCTCTCGAGCTTATGTCACAGTTCAAAATGAATAAAATAAAGTAAATATTTCCTTTTAAGACCTATTCAATGTTTTCCTCTCATGCCTTCTTCAATGTTTTCCTCTCATGGCTTCTTCAATATTTTCCTATAATGACCTATTCAATGTTGTCCTATAAATGACCTATTCATTGTTTACATATGACCTAGTCAATGTTGTCCTGTAATGATCCATTCAATGTTTTTCAGGTGACCATCAGACCAGTGAATGAGTTCAATCCACAGTTCAACGTCACTGAGTACACGTACAGTGTTGCAGAGGACAGTGTGCCAGGTAAGCTTATATAAGCAGTGTGTCAGGTAAGCTTATATAAGCATTGTGTCAGGTAAGCTTATATAAGCAGTGTTTTAGTTAAGCTTATATAACCAGTGTGTCAGGTAAGCTTATATAAGCAGTGTGTCAGGTATGCTGGTGTAATCAGTAAGTCAGGTAAGCTGGTGTAATTTGTGTATCAGATAAACTGGTGTAAGCAGTGTGTCAGGTAAGCTGGAGTAAGCAGTGTGTCAGGTGAGCTGGAGTAAGCAGTGTCAGGTACGCTGGTGAAAGCAGTGTGTCAGGTAAGCTGGTGTAAACGGTGTTTCAGGTAAGCTAGAGTAAGCGGTGTGTGAGGCAAGTTGATGTAAACTGTGTGTCAGGTAAACTTGTGTAATCAGTGTCAGGTAAACAGATGTAAACTGTGTGTCAGGTAAGCTGGTGTAAACTGTGCCATGTAAGCTGGTGTAGTGTGTAAGGTAAGCTGGTGTAAGTAGTGTGTCGGGCAAACTTGTGTAAACTTGAATACTATTACTGTCATGGATTATATAATCGGTGACGTAGCTAGGGTTGGTGCAGCCCGGGGCGGCGCAAACATTTTGTCACACCCCCACCACCATGAAAAAATTCCGTCGCTCAAAATAATAGAACAATGAACCACTTCCGGTGTAGGCCCCACTCCCCCCCACCCCCCCCACATCCGCACCTTCTCCTCTTCCTGTGTAGTTGGACACAATCGGCGTCTTTTCATTCGAGTCAATGACCCACACACACGCACGCACGCACACACACTGATAAAAGAGTGGTGACGTCACAAGATTTTTAAAAAATTTAATCTTTAATTTTAAAAAAAAAAAAATTTAAAACACAAGGTCACGTGATTCATATTTCAAATACAATGCTATAAATATATTATTGTGTGAGACGTTACAAAATTATTTCATAATTAAAGGGCAGTAATCGAACTAATGCTTGGATTTCGTTAGCAATTTAATTGTTTCCCTGGATTCGAATAATTACTTTTCTAAAGAAATAAATTCTCATTTAGACTCGCATCTGCCCTCGGGAATGTCCGCTTAGATAACCCCCCATACATTGGTCGGTGAACATTGGATAGAATTGTCAACATCGTAAATATCTGTTTAACCTGGCCATACACTAAAAATAGTTTCAAAACATTTCGTAACAAAATAAAAATTGTATAAATTTTATACGCGACTAGCAGTTCATAAGTTAATATTATTATTAAATTACATTAGATTGTTTAACCAGCCGGCGTCATCTTGTTTCTTATAAATCCATACTCTGTAGTTGTTTAAAGGTTTTATTTTTTTTTAATTATTATTTATATTCACGTCGATTTTTAAGCCATTTTGTCTTAACAATTGGACACTTTTGTAAACGGTTGAGAACCTCCGTCCTGTTAAACGTGCATGTTGGTTAAAATGTTATTCCCAAAATTGAAACAGACAATGCAATGCTTTCAATTTCAATTTAATTTTTTTGTATTAAATCATAAGCTCTTCGAGTAATATCTAAGACGAAACAAATAAGTATTTTCAACAAACAAAAAACAAAAAAAAACCAAGATTCTGTGCAAACAACAGATCCATTTGTTGTTTGGTTATTATGTTTTTGTTTTTTGGGAGTTGGCTTTTTTTTATATTACGAGAATGACTAAGCCATTGACCAGTGTTTCCCAAATTTTTTACATCTGTGTTCCCCTGTCTATAGTTTTCGTAACACTGAGTACCTCTTGCTAAAATTTTAAAAAATGCATATACTTTAATAACAATTAAAAAAAAAAAAAAATTTCCTGTGCAGCGCGTACCCCCATCAGACTCTTGCCCAGGGGTACGCGTACCACACTTTGGGAAACACTTCCATAGTCCCAACCATTCTTAATGTAGTGACCTCTAAGTACAATTTTTGCGACTTTTATTTCAGGCACGTCAGTATTCACTGCCTACGCGTTTGATCAGGACGTCGGCCTAGACGGTGCCCTGCGCTTTAACATCACAACCATCGACAGCCCGGTGCCCTTCTTAGTGGACAGTGCAGGTACGCCAGCCAGGGCTACTGTGCACCTTCAATATAGGCACCTTGTGTTGGGATACATCTAAGGATGCGTCAAAAATAGGAGCCAGAATGATCAATACATTGATCGTGGGGCCTAAAAATATACAAGAAATATAGAAGAAGAATATATGTGGCTTTTGTATAAATAAGAATCTATTCCATATCAATCATGTTTTAAATTAATAAGTGTGTCTCATAAGAACACAGATCTGCCTGTTTAAGAGATGTATTACGTGATATTACGTTCGAAAATCTTTTTGAGGTTAATTAGTAAAACACACAGAAAATAAAGGGCAAAAGAAGGGGAGGACAGCATTAAAGAGACAAACTAAGTGAAGAGTAGCGTCCCTCTAAGCATGTCATTGCCCGTCCTTACGTTATGCTCAGCTGTACTGTTGTTGCTAACATAACGGCTGACTCATTTCATTGTCCCGCAGGTGTCGTAAGAGTCAGATTGACTCTTGATTACGAGAAAGACAAAACATACAGCTTTAATGTGTTTGCCATTGACAACTCGACCACCGCAGAGAGATCCAATAAGGTAAGTGTGGTGATTTACGCGCGGCAAACTGACCCCTAAAGATGGACGTTTGCTGGACTCTCACTAAACTCTTGCTCCTCTCTGTTAACTCTCACTAAACTCTGGTCTATCTATGTCAGTGGGTCTCAACTTTCCCGATGCTGCGACACTTTAATACAGGTCCTCATGTTGTGGTGACCCCCAACCATAAAATTATTGTGTTGCCATTTAATAAATATGTGTTTTCCGATGGTCTTAGGCGACCCCTGTGTAAGGGTCGTTCGACACCCATAGGTGTCGCGACCCACAGGTTGAGAACCCCAGCTCTATGTCATTAAGAAGAAAGGGTTTATCACATGTCTCTATAAAATAGTAGCAATTAAGTATTAGTTTTTAATGTTTGGTAGTTGTACAGCTAACGTGTACTCTAATTTATTTTATCATTGAAGTAACCTACTTTTTTTTTAAATTCTAAACACAAAGTCAAAGTTTACAATAAACATTGTGGACGTGAATGACGCGCCGGTCATCTGTGATCAAGTGTCCACTCAAGTGGTCAAGTATCCCTTCACAATCGGCGCGGCGATCACTACCATCAACTGCAAGGATAATGACTTAGCTACCACGGGAACTCTGAACTACGGTCTTAGTGGAGGGAATGACAATGGTATATTCCAGGTAGGCATATTTTACATTATGTCATTTTCTGTTACTGAGCCTTACAAAGACAGCTAGCTATGTGTGTAGTAGACAGCTAGCTGTGTGTGTAGTAGACAGCTAGCAATGTGTGTGCAGTAGACAGCTAGCAATGTTTGTAGTAGGCTAGACAGCTCCATTCATTTTCTTTTTCCGCCTTTATTTTTATGTATTGATATTTACCACTACACTAGACTAGTATGTGCTTTACAATTTAATTGGTTTACCTATTTTATCTTACACTACACTATGACTTCTCAGGTTAAGAATGGCACCGGAGCTCTGAGCCTGCTCGCCATCTCTACGTCCAATCAGTACAACCTCCAGGTGTCTGTTTACGACAAAGACACCACGACGGTCAGCTTCGCTGTCCTAGCAGAGACAGAACTTAAGTTCACCAGTGCGTCCACCATCCTCGGCGTCGTCGAGAACACGTCCGGCTTTCTGCTGACCACGGTCGCCGCCTGCTGCGCCTTCCCCAAGGTCACCTACTCCGTCAAGACCGGAAACGAAGACAACAAGGTCACCTTGTACTCCACATCCGGTTTGATGTGGCTCATGGTTGGGTACGACAGGGAAGAGACGCCCAAGCACGAGTACATCATCCTGGCCGTCTCGGACAGTGGTCAGACGGCCACTCAAACGCTGACCATTAACGTCGAGGATGTCAACGATAATGCGCCGGTTTTCGATTCTAATCTTTACGTGTATAAAATTGACGAAAGTCTGGCTGTACCGGAGACCATTGCGACACTCACGGCTACAGATAAGGATGCTGGACTGAACGCAACGCTGACTTACTCGCTCAACGACACAACTACGTTTCAAATCAACGGTGACGGCACGTTAATCTTAAAAGCCAGCCTCGACTACGAGACAAAGAATGTGTACACAGTTGTACTCACCGCCACGGATGGAGGCAACCCTCCTTTAACAGGGACAACGCTTGTCATCGTAAACGTGCAAAATAAGGACGAGTCCAGCCCCGTCCTGGTGAAACCGCCCAGCCCCTACTCCGCAACGCTCAGCGAAGACTCGGCTCTGGGCGCCACTGTGTTCATCGTCCAGGCTACCGACGCGGACGCGGGCACGACCTTTCGATACTCGATTACCACGGGTAACATCAACGACGACTTCAGGATCGACCCGTCGTCCGGCAACATCACTGTCGGGAAATTTCTGGACCGTGAAAGGACTGACACCTACCCACTGACGGTGACCGCCGTCAACCAGAACAACGCGTCCGTCAGCGGAACGTTGACCATCACGATTTCAGACATCAACGACAACAACCCCGAGTTCTCACAAAACGTTTACGTTTTCTACGTCGAAAATAACGTCGCAAGTGGAACGTCCGTCGGTACGGTCGCTGTAACTGATCGCGATGCTGGAGACAACGCCAGCGTGACGCTGACTCTTACAAGTCAAAGCCCGAGTGACGCATTCACCTTGTCTGGATCTACGCTGTCCACAACGGTGGTGATGGCCTACCCGTCCGTCAGGTACTACCGGATGGTTGTGGTGGCCACGGATAAAGGCAGTCCACCGAGAAGCACCAGTTGCGTGGTGGTGGTCAACGTTTCCCCAAGTTTTCCCAAATTTAACACCACGACCGACACAATCTCCATCCCTGAGAATCAGAGCATCGGCTTCCAAATCTACGACCTCAACGCCACGGCTCTTGGTGTGCAGGAACTTGGCGTCATGAAATATGCTATACAATCAGGAGTCGGCAGTCAGGATTTTCTCGTTCGGCAAACGACGGGACAGATTATTATAAAAAACAGCCTTAATTACGAGACTCAAAATTCTTACATTTTAGTTATCAGTGCATATAATCCAGATAGCAGTCAAGATTCTTTCACACTTAACATCAATGTGCTCAACATTAACGAATTCGCACCGATCTTCCTTGCGCAGAACTTGTCAGCGGAACAGGAAACGTTCAAATTCCTTGTTAGTGAAACGGCCCCGTCCAGAACTGTTGTTGGCGCGGTGTCCGCCAGAGACGAGGACGCTGGTGAGTTCGGTAACGTTACACACACCCTCATCGGGGGCCAACCTGTTTTCCAAATTGACTCAAAGACGGGTGTGATTACCTTAAACGCCGCCCTAGATTACCTCGTGAAGAGCTACTACAGTTTTGTCGTCAATGCTAAAGATGGCGGAAGTCCGCCCAAGTCCGCCAATGCTTCCGTCGTTATCGAACTTATAGACGAAAACAATCACAGCCCGGTGTTTCAGTCCGTCTCCAACACCTCGGTACTGGACTCTGCCCCCATCGGATCAGAAGTGTTTAGATTCCGCGCCACTGACCTTGACACTGGCCTTGCAGGCAACCTCTCCTATTCTATATCTGTCACGGATAAGTTTACGGTCAACTCCACGACCGGCATCCTCACGACGACGTCCCTGTTAGATGCAGCAGTTGTGCCCCAGTACACGCTCACTGTGACGGCTAGTGACAAGGGCTCTCCTGTTCTGACAGCCGTTCAGAGTTTCACCATCAATGTCGTACCAACCAACCCCAACAACAACGATCCCATTTTTTCAGATCCCAACCCCGTGACCGTCACCGTCGCCCGGACCGCCCCCGCGGGGACCCCCGTGGTGACAACGTCCGCAACAGACGCGGACAAAGGAATCAGCGGACAGCTGGTTTACAAAATCACTTTTGGGAACTCCGACGGTTACTTTGTTATGGACCGTGCAACGGGGACCATCAGCACCGCCACAGGGATTCTAAGGGCGGCCAACAGTTACACTTTGGGGGTCATGGTCACAGATCAAGGCACACCATCACGGCAAAACACGACATCGGTTACTATTCAAGTTGCCCCAGGTCTTACCATAGAGCCCATCAGAACAGACTACAACTTCACCATTGCCGAGAACAAATCGCCCGGTTTTGAGGTGGGCAGAATAGCAGTTGACCCAGTTCGAACCACCACGGGATATAGCATAAAAACTGGGAACTGGAACTCGGCATTTGACATCTCCAGGGACGGTGCTACCGGCGAGGGTGTTCTCGTAGTAAAAGGCGCCTTGGACTACGAGATGGTCTCACTGTACTCGCTGGAGATTGTAGTAACAACTGATATTCTAGATTTTGTTAAATTGGTTAAAGTTCAGCTGACCGACGTCAACGATAACCCGCCTGTGTTCTCACCGGCCAGTCTTGCCCTCTCCATACCTGAGAACCTCCCCACTGGCCACACGGTGACGACCATCTCCTACACTGACGCCGATGTAACACCAGCTTTCAGGGTTAACCTCTTGGAGCTGAAAACCCCCGGAGACGTCTACTTTGAGATTGATCAATCTGGACACCTTAAAACCAAAACAAGCCTGGACTATGAATCTGGGCCACCTACCATCACTTTTGACGTTGTAGCCAAAGATCTGACTGATTCGTCCTTGTCCAGCACGATAACTATCACGGTCACCGTCATCGATGTCCTGGAGGAGGAAGACCGCACGACCTCATCCATCACCAACAGCGCCTTGATGTCGTTTGAAGTTCCCTACCAGGCGACCAGCGGTCATCTGATTTATACCTTGACACCGGGGGATTTTGGAATCATAGAATCCGCGACCGCTAACGTGGAATTCGTGGCATTCAAGAGTACCCTGCCATTTAGGTAAGCTCCACCTCTTTCTTTGTGTGTCTCACTCAATCCCTCGTCAAAGTAAACCAAACATCTTTAACGTAATTCTTACATAATATATATTTAGGAATCTACTGTGGTCAGAGCTCTGCATGAAGATAGTATTTTATTATTATCGTAAAGCTCTGCATTTTTTTGATTCTTCAAAATGAGTCTCTAAAAATAAGATTATCTATTAAAAAATATTTGAACCACAATTTTCTACGAAAGGCAGTCAGAACGGTCTCAGAACTGTGGCGCAGTTTGACGGTTTTGTTAAGTAGGTGAATGGGATCAGGTGACAGAAAGTAATCCTCGCCACTATCGAAAGGTTCAGAAGACTCAACACGTACTTCAACAGTCTAGCGCAAACTGTTGACCAAATGACCATCACTAGATGTTTCAGGGGAGGCCAGGGTGCGCGGCAGATTTCCTACGGGACGACACTGTTGTACGGCTCAGCTCAGCAGACGGAGCTGGTAGCCAATGTTCTAGCCAGGGTTTTAAGAGCGTACGCTCAAACCTTCGTCAGAATATATGCGTGAGTTAGTAGACCCAGAGACCCAGATGTCCAGATAACAATACCGGTGATTAAAGAGGCCGACTAGGCTCAAGCAGCCCTCCTTTATGGTTAACTGAAACGAATGTACACCGTACCTAAATACAGGGAACCGATACGACCGAACAGATAACATCCTTCTTACTTATCTCACACACCTATAACCAACGAACACTAAAAATCTTCAGTAATTTTGTTTTTCTCAACAGCATCGCCACCTACACAGGGGAGCTGACGGTCAGCGGTTCTCTTAACAATAAATCCAAGTACTTTCTGTGGGCCTTGTGTCGGTCCACTGACGGGGGTACCACGACGTCCAAGGTCTCTCTCCTGAGAATCGACACGTTCGATCTGACCACCCAGGTGGTTGTCATAGAGTTTGCTGAGGCTTACTCTGACATGAAGGCCAAAATGTGGGTCCTTTCACTGCTTTAACTATTTAACTTCCTTTTTATAGCTCTTATTAGCTGTAGCTTATATTGTGTGAGCAGTCTATTTAGTCCATATTAGCTGTAGCTTATATTGTGTGAGCAGTCTATTTAGTCCATATTAGCTGTAGCTTATATTGTGTGAGCAGTCTATTTAGTCCATATTAGCTGTAGCTTATATTGTGTGAGCAGTCTATTTAGTCCATATTAGCTGTAGCTTATATTGTGTGAGCAGTCTATTTAGTCCATATTAGCTGTAGCTTATATTGTGTGAGCAGTCTATTTAGTCCATATTAGCTGTAGCTTATATTGTGTGAGCAGTCTATTTAGTCCATATTAGCTGTAGCTTATATTGTGTGAGCAGTCTATTTAGTCCATATTAGCTGTAGCTTATATTGTGTGAGCAGTCTATTGAGTCCATATTAGCTGTAGCTTATATTGTTTGAGCAGTCTATTTAGTCCATATTAGCTGTAGCTTATATTGTGTGAGCAGTCTATTTAGTCCATATTAGCAGTAGCTTATATTGTGTGAGCAGTCTATTTAGTCCATATTAGCAGTAACTTATATTGTGTGAGCAGTCTATTTAGTCCATATTAGCAGTAGCTTATATGGTGTGAGCAGTCTATTTAGTCCATATTAGCAGTAGCTTATATTGTGTGAGCAGTCTATTTAGTCCATATTAGCAGTAGCTTATATTGTGTGAGCAGTCTATTTAGTCCATATTAGCAGTAGCTTATATTGTGTGAGCAGTCTATTTAGTCCATATTAGCTGTAGCTTATATTGTGTGAGCAGTCTATTTAGTCCATATTAGCTGTAGCTTATATTGTGTGAGCAGTCTATTTAGTCCATATTAGCAGTAGCTTATATTGTGTGAGCAGTCTATTTAGTCCATATTAGCAGTAACTTATATTGTGTGAGCAGTCTATTTAGTCCATATTAGCAGTAGCTTATATTGTGTGAGCAGTCTATTTAGTCCATATTAGCAGTAGCTTATATTGTGTGAGCAGTCTATTTAGTCCATATTAGCAGTAGCTTATATTGTGTGAGCAGTCTATTTAGTCCATATTAGCAGTAGCTTATATTGTGTGAGCAGTCTATTTAGTCCATATTAGCTGTAGCTTATATTGTGTGAGCAGTCTATTTAGTCCATATTAGCTGTAGCTTATATTGTGTGAGCAGTCTATTTAGTACATATTAGCTGTAGCTTATATTGTGTGAGCAGTCTATTTAGTCCATATTAGCTGTAGCTTATATTGTGTGAGCAGTCTATTTAGTCCATATTAGCTGTAGCTTATATTGTGTGAGCAGTCAATTTAGTCCATATTAGCTGTAGCTTATACTATGTGAGCAGTCTATTTAGTCCATATTAGCTGTAGCTTATACTGTGTGAGCAGTCTATTTAGTCCATTTTAGCTGTAGCTTATATTGTGTGAGCAGTCTATTTAGTCCATATTAGCTGTAGCTTATATTGTGTGAGCAGTCTATTTAGTCCATATTAGCTGTAGCTTATATTGTGTGAGCAGTCTATTTAGTCCATATTAGCAGTAGCTTATATTGTGTGAGCAGTCTATTTAGTCCATATTAGCAGTAACTTATATTGTGTGAGCAGTCTATTTAGTCCATATTAGCAGTAGCTTATATTGTGTGAGCAGTCTATTTAGTCCATATTAGCTGTAGCTTATATTGTGTGAGCAGTCTATTTAGTCCATATTAGCTGTAGCTTATATTGTGTGAGCAGTCTATTTAGTCCATATTAGCTGTAGCTTATATTGTGTGAGCAGTCTATTTAGTCCATATTAGCTGTAGCTTATATTGTGTGAGCAGTCTATTTAGTCCATATTAGCTGTAGCTTATATTGTGTGAGCAGTCTATTTAGTCCATATTAGCTGTAGCTTATATTGTGTGAGCAGTCTATTTAGTCCATATTAGCTGTAGCTTATATTGTGTGAGCAGTCTATTTAGTCCATATTAGCTGTAGCTTATATTGTGTGAGCAGTCTATTTAGTCCATATTAGCTGTAGCTTATATTGTGTGAGCAGTCTATTTAGTCCATATTAGCTGTAGCTTATATTGTGTGAGCAGTCTATTTAGTCCATATTAGCTGTAGCTTATATTGTGTGAGCAGTCTATTTAGTCCATATTAGCTGTAGCTTATATTGTGTGAGCAGTCTATTTAGTCCATATTAGCTGTAGCTTATATTGTGTGAGCAGTCTATTTAGTCCATATTAGCTGTAGCTTATATTGTGTGAGCAGTCTATTTAGTCCATATTAGCTGTAGCTTATATTGTGTGAGCAGTCTATTTAGTCCATATTAGCTGTAGCTTATATTGTGTGAGCAGTCTATTTAGTCCATATTAGCTGTAGCTTATATTGTGTGAGCAGTCTATTTAGTCCATATTAGCTGTAGCTTATATTGTGTGAGCAGTCTATTTAGTCCATATTAGCTGTAGCTTATATTGTGTGAGCAGTCTATTTAGTCCATATTAGCTGTAGCTTATATTGTGTGAGCAGTCTATTTAGTCCATATTAGCTGTAGCTTATATTGTGTGAGCAGTCTATTTAGTCCATATTAGCTGTAGCTTATATTGTGTGAGCAGTCTATTTAGTCCATATTAGCTGTAGCTAATATTGTGTGAGCAGTCTATTTAGTCCATATTAGCTGTAGCTTATATTGTGTGAGCAGTCTATTTAGTCCATATTAGCAGTAGCTTATATTGTGTGAGCAGTCTATTTAGTCCATATTAGCAGTAGCTTATATTGTGTGAGCAGTCTATTTAGTCCATATTAGCAGTAGCTTATATTGTGTGAGGAGTCTATTTAGTCCATATTAGCAATAGCTTATATTGTGTGAGGAGTCTATTTAGTCCATATTAGCTGTAGCTTATATTGTGTGAGCAGTCTATTTAGTCCATATTAGCAGTAGCTTATATTGTGTGAGAAGTCTATTTAGTCCATATTAGCAGTAGCTTATATTGTGTGAGAAGTCTATTTAGTCCATATTAGCAGTAGCTTATATGTCTATGTATTCCGTGGCTTTCATTTTGTCACATTACAAACTGGTTCTATCTATATATATAATACGCTATATATAGGTACGCCAGAGCTAGCATGCAAGACGCAGGCAAACCCTCCCTTCCCTTGCCTGCTCATCGTTGGTCACGGGATATGCGCACTTCGGTGGAGCTACCACCCCCCCCTCCTGCACCACCCTCGCTTGCCAGCCATGCGCATACTCCAACAAGCTTGCGGCGTTGTATGCTAAGCCGCCGGGGGGGGGGGTCGGCTATATTCCTATAGTTCATGGGCGGGAAATAAAAAGTGTGCAGTGACGTATCATGGAAAAAAGGAGGGGGGGGGGGCAAAATAGTCATTCTTCAATTATTGTATGCTAAGCCGCCGGGGGGGGGGTCGGCTATATTCCTATAGTTCATGGGCGTGAAATAAAAAGTGTGCAGTGACGTATCATGGAAAAAAGGAGGGGGGGGGGGCAAAATAGTCATTCTTCAATGTGCGTTACTTGAGTTCACGTTTTTGTCAAGTAACTTACTTTAGTAGATGGGAAGTTCACGCATTGCGGTCGCCAATGTTTGGCGGGCTATACCTAGTACTTTATAATGGATCACCTCAAACAGAAAAGAAGCGGTTTTGTCAAAGCTATTTTTAAAAAATACAGTAATAAGGCGAAAATCCGTGCCTAAAAAATGTGGCTTGCCTATTCTGGAAAAAAAATACTTCGGGGGGTCGAGAAAAAGGTGATTTATATTGAACCCATTGTCAGATCTAGAGATGACTTACTACAATTTGAACCACACACAAAACGGTTTTTTTGTTTTGGCACGGCTACGACAGTACTCACATCGTAACCCGTGACCTAAATAATGACAACATATGACGATAATCAGGACGGCGTTCAAGCTTACCTACCCTTTGACTAGCGATGGGTTATTGTTTTGTTGAAATATTTAAAAATGATGATCATCTTTGGGTTTGTTTTGATCAAAACAAATGCTACACTAAATATATATTACTTGCTACATTATGTATATTACTTGGTACATTCTTTATTGCTTGCTACATTCTATGTTCTTTGTGTCACTTTCTACATTCTATATATTTCTTGCTACATTCTAGATGTTACTTGGTACATTATATATATTACTTGCTACATTCTATATATTACTTGCTACATTCTATATATTTCTTGCTACATTCTAGATGCTACTTGATATATTCGATATATTACTTGCTACATTCTATATATTACCTGTTACATTTTATTCATTGATACCTATTAGAAAAAAATTGACAACATATTATCTTCTACTTTTAACTATTTTGTTATGAAAATGTTGTATCAACCCTTCTCCTATTTCATGGACCATCCTCACTACCCGGCCCTCCTCCTGCTTCATGTACCATCCTGTCTACCCACCTTTGTATCAACTTCAACTCCTATAGACATTCTTGCTTGAACATTACGTCTCGTGATTATTGCGTAATAACAATCTAGGAAGAATGGTAATATAGTAACATAATGTTCAATAGTTTTTAAAAAAAACATGTCCGAATTTTCGAATTTCTCTTGTCCACAGATCAGCATTCAGAACTCGTACGCAACTATTTTTCACTCAGACCCAGAGGGTCGGATTCTCCAACTTGCTGGACACAAGCTCCGGGTCAAGGAGGAAGCTCTTGGCTACAACGTGAGCTACAACATATGCAACATAGAAATAGTTCTTACGATAAGGAATACGTACCGTTTTTCATATTATTATGATACAAAGAAAATGTCACAAATAAATTCCTCGATGTTAAAAAGTTTCTATAACTTTCAGACGGCACACTAACCTCCCAACACAACAACACTAAACCCCCACGACATGTCACCCCCACATGACACAACACCCCAAACACACCACATACCCCACCACGCCACATCCAATCCACACAATACCACACCACACTCCCACAACACCACACCACACTCCCACCACACCACACCAAACTCCCACCACACAACACTCCCACCACACCACACTCCCACCACATCACACTCCCATCACACCACACTCCCACCACATAACACCACACTCCAACCATACCACACCACACTCCCACCACACCAAACTCCCACCACAATCCTACCCTACCACACTTCCAGCACGTTTCAACCACACTCTAACCAAACCATACCACACTCCCACCACACCATAGCACACTCCCACCACACCACACCACACTCCCAACACACCCCATTCCCACCACGCCACACTCTAACCAAACCATACCACACTCCCACCACACCATAGCACACTCCCACCACACCACACTCCCAACACACCCCATTCCCACCACGCCACACTCCCACCACACCGCACTGCCACCACTTCACACTCCCACAACACCACACTCCCACAACACCACAACACACTCCCAACACACCACAACACATTCCCACTACACCACACCTCACTCCAAATACACCACACTTGCACCACACCACACTCCCACCGAGCAACATTCCCACCACACCAAACTGCCACCACACCACAATCCCACCAAACCAAACTACCACCACACCACACTCCCAAAACACCACTCTCCCAATACACCACACCACACTCCCACCACCTCACATTCCCACCACACCACACTCCCACCACACCACATGGCCACCACACCACACTGCCACTACACCACACTCCCACCACACCACATGCCCACCACACCACACTCCCACCACACCACCCCCCCACCACACCACACGCCCACCACACCACACACCCACCACACCACACTACTACCACACCTCTCCCACCACACCACACTCCCACCACAACCCACTCCCACCACAACACACTCCCACCACACCACACTCCCACCACACCACACTCTCACAACACCACACTCCACCACAACACACACCAGCACAACACACTCCCACCACCCCACACTCCCACCACAACACACACCCACCACAACACACTACCACAACACCACACTCCCACCACACCACATTCCCACAACACCACACTCCCAGCACACCACACCCCCACCACACCAACTCGCATGCTTCAAATTTATCACGGTATCATCTCCTTGCACAGATCCCTTCCATTACTTATTCATTTATTATTTCAACTTCCTCCCCCACCCCCAAACCCAAACCCCAACACAGGAGCGCCGCCTACACCTACGTCGTCAGTGACACGTCAGCAGACGCTATGGCAAACGTCAACCAGGACAAATCTTTTATGACGGACAAAGAGATTCTAGGCGTAAGTATCATCGCACATACAGATTCTGAACGTTTGCAATATCGGACAAACAGTTTCTTGCAGCTTGTAATATCGGACAGACAGTTTCTGGGTGTATGTAATATCGGACATGGAGATTCTTAGTGTGTAATATCGGACAAACAGAGAGTGAGATTATGATTAAGCTTTACTCTTCTGATCTAAACACTCTGTTAGAAACTATCGTCTCGGACAAGACTTCCATTAAAGTCGATAATTCTCAAGGTCGATAGTCTCAAGGTCGATACATCTCAAGGTCAATAAGTCTCAAGGTCGATAAATCTCAAGTTCGATCATTCTCGAGGTCGATAAGTCTCAAGGTCGATCATTCTTAAGGTCGATACATATCAAGATCAATACGTCTCAAGCTCGATAATTCTCAAGGGCAATAAGTCTCAATATCGATAAGTCTCAAGGTCGATAAGTCTCAAAGTTGTTAAGTATCAAAGTCGATAAGTCTCAAAGTCAATAAGTCTCAAGGACAATTAGTGAGTCTCAAGGTCGATAAGTTTAAAGGTCGATATGTCTCAAATTTTGCTTAAGATACCTTGCATTATATCATTAGACATTAGACAAATATATCGTAATAATTGAGGCCTTTATTTACTGTAATAATTAAGGCCTTTATTTATTGTAATAATTAAGTCCTGTATTTACTGTAATATTAAGGCCTGTATTTACTGTAATAATTAAGGCCTTTATTTACTGTAATAATTAAGGCCTTTATTTACTGTAATAATTAAGGCCTTTATTTACTGTAATAATTAAGGCCTTTATTTACTGTAATAATTAAGGCCTTTATTTACTGTAATAATTGAGTCCTGTATTTAATGTAATAATTGAGTCCTGTATTTACTGTAATAATTGAGTCCTGTATTTACTGTAATAATTGAGTCCTGTATTTACTGTAATAATTAAGGCCTTTACTTACTGTAATAATTAAGGCCTTTATTTACTGTAATAATTAAGTCCTGTATTTACTGTAATAATTGAGTCCTGTATTTACTGTAATAATTGAGTCCTGTATTTACTGTAATAATTGAGGCCTGTATTACTGTAATAATTAATTCCTGTATTTACTGTAATAATTAAGGCCTTTATTTACTGTAATAATTAAGGCCTTTATTTACTGTAATAATTAAGGCCTTTATTTACTGTAATAATTAAGTCGTGTATTTAATGTAATAATTAAGGCCTGTCTTTGCAAGCATCGTAGACGTCACCAAAAAAGTAACAAAAAACAATAATATTAAACTTTGAGCTCCAGACACAATGACAAAATCCCATTAATTGAAATATATAAAAGAAACCTTTCCGAAAGAATAGTTTCAATAATCTCAATTGGGCGTTTGTTGAAGGTTTGGGAGTACATATGTCGTTATCGGGCCTGGCTTTAAGTCAGACCGTACATCAGCTGTTTATTTTGACATAATTTGTGATAAAAAATAATTGCGTTATTTCTTCTACAGATCCTTCAACAGTCGGCTGACGGCACTCCGGTCACTGGTTTGTCTGATCCGGCAATCCTGGAGGTGTCTGCCGTGGAACCGTATCAGGAAACCCAATCCAGCAGTGCGGACGAGTTCTTGTCCTCGCCTGGTGGCATAGTGATGTTCTGTCTGCTGGGTCTGCTGCTGCTGGTGGCGCTCATACTCCTCATCGTCTTCTTGTGCCATAGGAAAAACAAGAATGTTGATAAGTGGTGCGTTGTGCCGTTTGGAGGGAGAGTCTCATCGGGGAATGATTTGAAGAGTCAGAGTTGTGAGAGGTTTGCAGAAGGGACTCATCAAGGGAGTGATTTGAGAGCCTGGGGTTGGGAGTTTGGCAGGAGGGCCTCATCGGGGGAGTGATCGGAGAGCCTGGGGTGGGAGGTTGGCAGGACGACCTCATCAGGGGAGTGATCGGAGAGCCTGGGGTTGGGAGGTTGGCAGGACGGCCTCATCAGGGGAGTGATCGGAGAGCGTGGGGGGGGGGGTTGGCAGGAGGGCCGCATCGGGGGNTGGCAGGACGGCCTCATCAGGGGAGTGATCGGAGAGCCTGGGGTGGGAGGTTGGCAGGACGACCTCATCAGGGGAGTGATCGGAGAGCCTGGGGTTGGGAGGTTGGCAGGACGGCCTCATCAGGGGAGTGATCGGAGAGCCTGGGATGGGAGGTTGGCAGGACGGCCTCATCAGGGGAGTGATCGGAGAGCCTGGGGTTGGGAGGTTGGCAGGACGGCCTCTTCGGAGGAGTGATCGGAGAGCCTGGGGTTGGGAGGTTGGCAGGACGGCCTCTTCGGAAGAGTGATCGGAGAGCCTGGGGTTGGGAGGTTGGCAGGACGGCCTCATCAGGGTAGTGATCGGAGAGCCTGAGGGTTGGGACGTTTGCAAGGAGTTGGATATTGATTGGGTGGTCTCAGCTTCAGGCGACTGATTTTTCAGTTGACAAAGTTACTTTTGGTACTTACAGTTTACACTTAGTGGTAAGCTTGAAATAACATGGCAACTTTGAATAGTCGATAAAGAAAACGGTTAATATGCTTAAATGCTTTAGGGCTCTTCATGCAAATGTGTTTAATTTGGTTACTGACTTTTTTTTATTAAACGTCGTATGCATGAAACAACTCACACACTTACATTTCTTCGTGGATTTTTCCAGGGAAGAGAAGAAGGGTAAAGATTCAAAAGACGTCAGAGGAGGTGAGTGTTGCAGCTAGTCTTCTATGTCATCTAAGTAAAATCAAAATCCGTGAAATAAATTCCGTTTGATGTCACTTACATAGTATTTAAACCAGATATAATTGTATATATTTTAAAGGCATATTTTGAAGGAAAAAATTCTCTTTCAGAAAAAGTAACACCCTTTTTCAAAGTGTCACAAAGGAGTGCGAGTATTGACACCACGAGACAGCACCATGACCCCTCCTTAGGACACCCACCTAAGACTCTTATCAACACACCTAACTCATATGGCTCTAACGACAAACTGAGAGATGAACACGCCGCAGAGAAGTCCCACAGCAACAAGTCTGTAGAGCACGCCGAACCAGTACCCATCCTTCACGTGGAGCCAACCAAAGACACAGAGGTGAAGTCTAAAGAGGAGACCACTCGGATCTTCACCACCAGAGGGGATACCAACAACAACGTCTCCCTTATAAAATACGGCAGGAAATCCACCAAATTACCCACCACAGCCTCAGCAATCCCTGGGAAGGACGCCAAGAAGAACACCGCCGTCCGCAAGACCTCGGAAGTCAAGGGACCTACTGATAAAAAGGGACAGAACACGTGGACGAACTCCGTTCCAAGCCCACCTGACGCTCCGAGCTCTCTCAACAAAGAGAAACCAGCGTCCGGTGATTCTAAATCTGTCAGTGATGAACCAACCTCTGCCTCCGGCTCACATAAGAACGAAGCCAGCGAAAGTGCGGGTTCTCACACTGCGTCCAGCACGAGCCAGGGTGCATCCGCAGATCCCGTTAATGACAACGGTTTAGAGATTGTTGGTGAAAAGGTTTTCACCAACCAGGGAACCGCTGCTGACACAACCTAGTGTCATGACATTTCAGTCGTAGTACTAAAAGCTTCAGAAAGTCTCCTAGATTTGTTTTTAAAATTTACTAACGCCAGGTTACCTTTGAACTCAGTCTAAGCACAAACACATGAAATAGTAGTTTCCTTTTTTCGAAAAAACTTTTTTTTTTTTAAATCTTGAAATAAATTTTCAGTTAAACATAATCTCCAGTTTTCCCTAGCCAATTGTTTGAAATTTTCAGCCTTAAGAAAGCAAGAAAAAGATATCTAAGATACTCGGGTTTGAGTGGGGGGGGGGGTGTTTCTAACCTAAAAATGTAAACGCCGGAAGTGCCAAAACAAACACACATACACACTAAAAAACCTAATGGAACAATGAAAGTGACTAACGTCAAGTTTAAAGCTATCACACTGTTTTTTTTTTTTTATTTTTAAGCCTCTCCACTTTTTTTTTTTTTTTTTTTTTTTTTTTTTGGTACATTGTTTCCATTTATAAACAGTTCAAATCAAACAATTGTTTTTCTTAACAATTCACTCGCCTGCATTGTTTTTGGTTACTTTATTTGCTCCTGTGATATTTTTATGTATATTTTACACTGTTAATCTTATGCGCCATTCGTTGTTAAAAATGTTTTTAAAAAATTATAATTCACGATTGTTACAGTCATTGTTGAGAATAATTAGTTTGTTAATCCTCCTGTATAGCCACAACTAATAATCGTGATTTTTGTATAATTATACAAAAGATGTTTTTAGACTTGCTTTCACGAAAAAATATACCCCATAGCTTTCCGAAATCTCCCACATACATTTCCAAAATTTCCAACATGGCTTTCCAAAATCTCTCACATACATTTCTAAAATATCCCACATACATTTCCAAAATCTCCCACATAGCTTTCCAGAATCTCTCACATACATTTCCAAAATCTCCCACATACATTTAAAAAATCTCCCCCATAGCTTTTCAATAATAATAATTTGTTTTACGTTGTAACAATAAAGATTTTCCAGCCCCTGTCAATGGCTTAAAATTTATGATGCTTCATTTGTTTTCACAGAAACTTTACGAGCATTCTATCAATGTACACATAAACAACTCGTAATGATAAAAGAAACAATACTTTGGGGATATTTTCATCACTTGGCCTCAGTTACGTCACAAATGGTCAGCTTCTTCTTTTTCCCATCCACCTTTCACTCACACATTCATATACTACCAGTAAATGTCTGATACAAAATTTCTTGGGATCTAATCTTAATTGAACCGACGACAGACTTTCTGAAGTCTGAGAATGATGTATAGAAAAATATGCTTTTAACTTGTGTCTTGTCAGGCACCTTTTTGTTGTTGTTTTGTTTTGTTGTTTTTTTTTAAATCTTTTGTTTATTTACATTTTGATTACCATAGATTAAAAAAAAAACTCTATTCAATGCACTGGCAAAATAGCCTGGCCATCGACATATGATACCTTTCAGGTGGTTCTTAAAATATAAAGAAAAGCTTAACTTCCGATACTATTTAAACTCAGGCAGTGCTTCACCAAACTATGTGAAAATAAGCCATAACGAAATTCACGCATTTTTTGGTCACCAACGGAGCCTATCAGACATATGAAGCGCACTTAGTGCATGGCTACACTGTATTCTTACTGTATTCTCTCATTGCTTTAAGTAGAAAAAAAAATCCCGAATAACAGCTTGGCCTTTTACTGGCCAAATTCCTTTCAACAGTAACTGTAAAGCCGACATGTTTATGCTGCATTTTGTGATTAAAAAATGGGTTGACCTTTTTTGTGTGCGGTCGCTTTTTGCTCTTTGTCTCCGTTTCGCTTTTATCTCAAATTTAATTTGGCACATGCCATCAGTTTCCCTGGCTTCTCTTGGGGTGCCAGGCTGGATTATTCCGGCACGTTATCATTGCTGATGAAAAAGAGTTTCATGTTTAGACAGTGTTGATACTTAACTCAATTTGTCGCTATATTGAACTTGATTTATATAATTAGAGTTGAAATCCACGTACAAGTTAATGGTTTCGTTTTGAATTGAGATTGATCGGCTGATGAACATAGAAATAAATGCAGAGGTAACATTTCCCAACTTCTTTTCTACAGTTTTAAAAAAATGAAAATTAGATTCATATTTATCAGATTATAATAACAATCCTAGTCCCAAGTTTTGAGTTTGTGGAGAGATAATTGCAAAGTGTGTTACCTAACACATTAACCTGTCAATTAAACTGGTCCAAAAAATGTTGGAATGCGTCATTGAAATTTCAAAATATGTAAAGAGACGGTCTCAAAATGTTACCAAAATTTAAGAATCGTATAAAGCTGAAATAGCTAGTTTAATCTCATAGCAATCCCACAAATCTTCTCAATCAAATTTTAATATCAAACAATAATAAAGGAAATATGTTCATGAGATATGTTGTGTCACCATACATTTCGTTAATACACAGTATGCTTGTGTCCGTGTGTCTTAATAAACAGTATGTTTGTGTCCGTGGGTCTTAATAAACAGTTTGCTTGTGTCCGTGGGTCTTAATAAACAGTATGCTTGTGTCCATGGGTCTTAATAAACAGTTTGCTTGTGTCCGTGGGTCTTAATAAACAGTATGCTTGTGTCCGTGGGTCTTAATAAACAGTATGCTTGTGTCCATGGGTCTTAATAAACAGTATGCTTGTGTCCATGGGTCTTAATAAACAGTATGTTTGTGTCCGTGGGTCTTAATAAACATTATGCTTGTGTCCATGGGTCTTAATAAACATTATGCTTGTGTCCGTGGGTCTTAATAAACAGTATGCTTGTGTCCATGGGTCTTAATAAACATTATACTTGTGTCCATGGGTCTTAATAAACAGTATGTTTGTGTCCGTGGGTCTTAATAAACAGTATGTTTGTGTCCGTGGGTCTTAATAAACATTATGCTTGTGTCCGTGGGTCTTAATAAACAGTATGCTTGTGTCCATGGGTCTTAATAAACAGTATGCTTGTGTCCATGGGTCTTAATAAACAGTATGCTTGTGTCCATGGGTCTTAATAAACAGTATGTTTGTGTCCGTGGGTCTTAATAAACAGTATGCTTGTGTCCATGGGTCTTAATAAACAGTATGCTTGTGTCCATGGGTCTTAATAAACATTATGCTTGTGTCCGTGGGTCTTAATAAACAGTATGCTTGTTTCCGTGGGTCTTAATAAACAGTATGCTTGTGTCCGTGGGTCTTAATAAACAGTATGCTTGTGTCCATGAGTCTTAATAAACAGTATGCTTGTGTCCGTGGGTCTTAAAATGGGTCCGTTCAACCCTCGGGTACAGGGGTAAGGCTGCGTGTCGTGACATTTGGCATCTCTAAAAAGGTGTGATCAGCAGAAATAGTGAAGACAGCACTGGACTGAAGCTTTCATTTGATTGGACAACAACAAATCAGGGGAGTTAATCACTTTGATTAAACACCTCATAGCATGCGATTAAACGCGTACTATTTGCTATATAAATCGTTCAACATGCCAGTTATTTATCATACAATTGTCACAAAGCTGGACACTATGCAAGTTATTTAGCATATGATGGTCACAAAACGAGACACTGTTAGTTATTTAGCACACAATTGTCACAAAACTGGACACTAGCAAGGTAGCTCACTCAGATAATCAATATAGCTTTAGTTCACTGCGATAAGCAAGTTAGCCCTTTCGATCGCCACTATGCACCCGAAACTGATAATCACGTCTCAAAACAGAGACGTCCAACCACGTCTCATAACAGAGACGTCCAATCACGTATCATTACATAGACGTCCAACCACGTCTCATAAAAGAGACGTCCAACCACGTCTCATAACAGAGACGTCCAACCACGTCTCATAACAGAGAAGTCCAACCACGTCTCATAACAGAGACGTCCAACCACGTCTCATAACAGATACATCCAACCACGTCTCATAACAGAGACTCCAACCACGTCTCATAACAGAGAGGTCCAACCACGTCTCATAATCAAAAATTTCTAACCAAAAAACTGTCACTATGTGCATCACGCCCTTCCTGGGTGATTCGTAAGTGATCAGACAATCTGACATAAATGAAACAGCCAACGTCATATCAAATCGTTGTAGGACCCTTCAACACACACAACTCTAACATTTCTAGGTAAGTTTCATTATGGCACTCTTCTTAAATATTTAACTTGCACTTTATGCACCCATATGTATGCCTATAAATATATTTATGTGAATAATTTTTACTTGTTGCAATTGGTTTACCCCCTACAGGCACTGGGTGTATTCCATTGAGAAGTCCTCTGTTATTCGGCCCACAATACCCACCCAGTTACTCATTCTGAAAACGTAAACAAATCAACGTGAATTATTATCGTTAATCAGCTCTTGATACCATTGACGTCAATCTGCCCCATCGCAGATATCTCCTGCACACCCCACAGGCGCTCTCGTTGATAACAGTTTGATGGAGTAGATGTGAATCATGGTAGTGAGTCAACCGGGACAAGCGTATTAATTAGTTCTTTATCCTACTATGTATTAAATGATGTTTTAGAAGCGGGCAGAGTGGAACCAAATTTAAGATCATAAATAGCGTAGATCATATTTTTTTTAAAATTAGAATCACTTTCTAAAAGTTTTCTATATATCCTGCTGGCCAGATGTAAATATTTTTGTCGCACATTTTGAATTGATCAACAGCTTAAGGACACATATTACAGAGCGACAGCAATCGAAATCATTATAATTAGCCTTAAATTGAATTTAGGAACTATATGTCTAGCTGGATCTAGAATGCATGGGTGGCATAAGTGCAAATTGTGGCGGCATTGGTTAAAATTGTGGTGGCATTGGTTCAAATTGTGGTGGCATTGGTTAAAATTGTGGTGGCATTGGTTAAAATGCTGATGGCTTTGGTTAAAAATTGTGGTGGCATTGGTTAAAATTGTGGCAGCATTGGTTAAAATTGTGGTGGCATTGGTTAAAATTGTGGCAGCATTGGTTAAAATTGTGGTAGCATTGGTAAAAATTGTGGCGGCATTGGTTAAAATTGTGGTGGCATTGGTTAAAATTGTGGTGGCATTGGTTAAAATGCTGATGGCTTTGGTTAAAAATTGTGGTGGCATTGGTTAAAATTGTGGTGGCATTGGTTAAAATTGTGGTGGCATTGGTTAAAATGCTGATGGCTTTGGTTAAAAATTGTGGTGGCATTGGTTCAAATTGTGGCGGCATTGGTTAAAATTGTGGTGGCATTGGTTAAAATGCTGATGGCTTTGGTTAAAAATTGTGGTGGCATTGGTTCAAATTGTGGGGGCATTGGTTCAAATTGTGGCGGCATTGGTTAAAATTGTGGCGGCATTGGTTAAAAATTGTGGTGGCATTGGTTAAAATTGTGGTGGCATTGATTAAAATTGTGGCGGCATTGGTGCATGTTGCGGTGGCACTGGGTGGAGCAAGGTATGCAACAATAAAGGGGAAGGTGGGGCATGGATAATACGTATTCAAAATGTGTTTATTTCTACAATATAGTGGGTTATTTCCCCATGCAACATTTGGAATTACACGGAAACACAGAGGAATCATTGAAAAGTAATTTATGTTTTACATTTTATTTTATATGATCAAAAAAAGTTTGGAAATACTACCTAATAGGTTTCATATATAGCCTGGGGGTTTCATCTAGCGGGGGCCTGAGGGGTTTGATATAGCCTGGGTGTCAAGGGTTTGATCTAGCTGGGGCCTGAGGGGTTTGATATAGCCTGGGTGTCAAGGGTTTGATATAGCCTGGGTGTCAAGGGTTTGTATAGCCTGGGTGTCAAGGGTTTGATATAGCCTGGGTGTCAAGGGTTTGATATAGCCTGGGTGCCAAGGGTTTGTATAGCCTGGGTGTCAAGGGTTTGATATAGCCTGGGTGTCAAGGGTTTGATATAGCCTGGGTGTCCAATGGCTGATAA